CCTCATAGCACACTGTATGGCGTATGCCCGTCTTCATTAGCCCAGTTTAGGAACAGAACAGTAGGACGTTAAACCCCATTTCATTTCATTTCATGGTGGCCATTTAGGGCAGAGTTCTATTCTCGTAGTTCTCTGTGTGCAGATTGAAGGTCTAGTTGCCGATTCTAATTCTTGAATTATATTTTTCTCTTTCTTACTCTTCTTTTTGTTTGTGACCAGAATCAGCTGTTCATGACTGAAATTTGACAAAGTTGTCAGAAAGTTCTGATTTTTTTCTCTTCAGAGAACGGGTTAGGGTTGGTGTTAGAAACCTATCTGGCCAAAATATTGAACATTACTTTAAAAATAAAACATGCCACCCATTTGAATTATCAAATAAACAAACACCTAACTGTACATTGTTTGGCCAGCGTATAAATTTATAATGAGTCAGTCATATGGACTGAATGATCTCTGTGTGTCAGTAATGTTTTCTAATGAATGGTCAGACATCCATGATACAGCTGGTGTAGTTGTCATTTTAACTATAATTTTTCGGATGATATAGTTTTTCTTCAGTGCAATGACTTTTGTTTCTTTTGTACAAGGTAATGCTGAACTGATTTATTTTAACAAAAAGTGTTTTGCAATTATGTTAATTCTTCTGCAACTGAATGTTTCAGAATACGATAGAAGAGTAGGCTGTAGTGCCACTGTCTGGGCAAAATGTCCCTCATAGCACACCGTATGGTCTATGCCCGTATTCGGAGCAGAACATCAGAATGTTAAACCCCATTTCATTTCATTATCTATTTCAGTATGGGGGAGGTTGAATGGCCGAATGGTTAGAGCGTGCACGTTGTATCATAAGGTCTGTCATTGAGTCGACTGCGTGGTTTCGATTCCCTGGTTGTACGTGATAAGGAGTAGTTCCGTCTGTCCAACCTCATGGGTTTTCTCCGGTTTCAACCCATTGCTAAAGACTCCTACGTGCAAGCAAATTATTGAAATAAATTGAACCTTATGTTAGTCCCAAAATGACCTAGTTTGTGTCAAGTGGACGTTACACCCCATTTCTCTCTCTCTCTCAATTTCAATGTAATGGCCTTTATGTGGCTCAGAGGTAGATAGACTTGCAAACTGTCTGATAAAAATTTTGTACATTGGTTTATTCGTTTCAGAGTGACAAGGGGGGTTGGATGGCTGAATGGTTAGCGTGCGCGCTGTATCATAAAGTCTGTCATTGAGTCGACTGGCGTGGTTTCGATTCCCCGGTTGTACGTGGCAAGGAGTAGGGTCGCCTGTCCAGCATCGTGGGTTTTCTCCGGGTCCTCCGGTTTCCTCCCACTGCTAAAGACCCCTACGCGCAAGCGAATTATGTAAATAAAATTAAAACCATATGTTAGTCCCGAAATGACCTAGTTTGTGTCGAGTGGACGTTAAACCCCATTTCTCTCTCAGAGTGACAGGACCAAGACACTAAAAAGATAAAATGTATAGTTTGAGCAGTGGTTTGATAGAAATTCTAATTTTTTTTTCAGATCTCAGTATGAAGTTAGAGGATTTTAAGGTAACGTTTGATAACCCACGCGGGGTTTTTAATGTGGGAGATGAAGTTAAAGGGAATGTGTGTATTTCTCTTAAACAACCCATGAAAATGAGAAGTAAGTACATTTACCTATAATCAGAGTTTTATTTGGCACGAACTAAGGCCAAAGTAGTTTAAAGTAGCTAAGTCTCTAACTCAATATCATCCAAAATCTTATACGTTGAAAATACGAATTATTTGTCAATTCAAATCAACATTGATGTTGTGATCTTACCAGGAAAAGGCAGGCTTCTGATATCCAATATTTAAGACAAAAAAAACATTTTACCATTGGTACACGAATCGTGTACCATAGTGCGTTTTAGCGTAATTTGCAACAAGTGACCAGAAAGAATGAGGCTAGACATATTCAACTGGAGAGCCTGCTTAATAGACTGGAATAACCAGATGCTAGAAATTGCTATAGGGTTGAGACACATGCTGTATTTCGCTGGACATAACTGATTTGAAATTAGAGTCAAAAAGGAAACAGTTGAATGTAAATCAGTTTATATACAATCAGATTACATTATTATATGCGTTTCGACCCATTTGGGTCAATTTCTAGGTCCCAAATATTAGTGATTTAGCTCCTTTAATGTTTAGTTATTCAGGAGTCTGGTGAACAATGTTTGTTTAAAATTTCAAAACTTTCAAATTTTGAACTAAAAGCTGATATCATGAAAAGAGCCACCAAGTGTTGTGTTGTTTTTTTTTTAATGTTTTTTGTTTCCCAAGGAATAGAATTATTGTTGTGGGTATTTTTTTAATGTATTTTTGTTTCCCAAGGAATAGAATTATTTTTTTTAATAAGTGTTCTTGTTTATGAAATAAATTAATTGAAGTGGCCTATTCTGGAGGAACCAGATTGTTAGCTAAGAAAACTATTTCTAAATTTGTAGGTTTTATGACAATTTAGGTTAGATTTTGGGCTTATTTTGGTATCTTTGGGCGAATCAACTACCAGTCTGAAAATAATGTAAATTAAACTTCTGGATGCGTTTATATAGTAGTGCTCACTGCTCACTCAAAGATTTGAATAGTGTACCAAGGCTATTAGAACAGGGGTTGGGGGGGGGGGGGGACGGCCGAATGGTTAGCACATGTATGCTGTATAAGGTCTGTCATTGAGTCAACTGGTGTGGTATCGATTCCCCGGTTGTACTTGACAAGGAATAGGGTCACCTGTCCAACCTCAGGGTTTTTCTCTGAGATCTCCGGTTTCCTCTCACTGCTAAAGACCCCTATGCGCTAGTGGATGTGTGTTTGTCTCTCTCTCTCTCTCTCTCTCTTTCTCTCATAGTGTGGATTAAACCTGAAACATTGGACACATGTATGGTCCATAAAATGCAAATATAATTAAAGTACAGATCTCTATTTCATTTTTTTTATATACTTTTGATGGCCTCCAGTACATGAAGATTTGGCCGCTTGTAGTGGGAGGTCACGTCAGGGGTCATGTGAAATACTTTTGACCTCATGACGTCAGACATTTGATTAACTAATCAGCGTTATTGTTTCTAGTGGGATACCCACAGTTACGTGCACTGCATGCCAAGAACTCATTGCCACAGAATATTTCATTGGCTAATCCCTCACGTTAACCATAATGCTGTTAACAATAATGCGGGTAATGTAACAACTCTTCCAGATCCTAGGGTAGTAAAAGCAAGTACAGTAGAACTTGCTTCGGCGTGCACTCCTAATCAGCGAACACTTGCTTCAACGAGCACCAAAAAATCCCCCCGAGCGATTTTTAAGTAATTTAACCTCTACTAAACACGCACCTGTTCAACGCGTGCACCGGACATAACGATTAATTCCCCCCGTAAAATATCCAACTGTTTCAACGGTCACTCCTCTAACGCGGCCAGGGGTCGCTATTTTACTATTAAAATCAACAAAACATCGCCCATTCAATGGCCATTGTTGAATGATACTATCTTGCCGTTCTTTCTTTTTAACACTCCTGCTAATCCCGTGAGTAGTAGTTAATTAACTGGACCCCCACTGATCAGGTAAAAAGAAATGTAAAAATAACAATCAACCCGGGATTATCTGTTTATTAATCTTTTGTTTTATTAAACGACTAATCTGATCAATGTTTCCACGCGTAACAACACATTATTTGATACTGATTGAATAAAATGAAAGTACCGAGTTTTGTCACGATCATCTAGTATCTCTTTTCCATTACCACTGTTGTTAAACAGACGTTTTAGCGCCACCTATAATATTACATACAGAGTTACATCCCCTGTAAATCAGTGATAAAATCAGCGATGTTTTTTTGTTCATGTGCTTTTTTTGATAAAATAAAATTAATTCATCGATTTTCTTCTCAAAAATGGATAAATATTATCAAATGCATCACAATGGTAGACAGTAGGTTGCTACAAAATGACAAGTTTACAGAAGTTATGTTCGAGATTTGAGTAAAGAATTTTCGTTCGGCGCAAGATTCAGCGACGGTCAAATTTATCGATGCAAGTATTTATGTTCGCTCCTAATTTATGTCAGCATAAAAAGCACCGAGATTTTATTAAGTGGTCGCGTAATCGCTAAAATAATTGAGGTGGGAAATACTCAAATTCACGGCATTTTGAAACGCTTTTAGACGCTATGATTCAGTATGATGAAGATAAAAGAAATATTGGGGGGCCAGAGATCCAGTATTACTAAACAAACATGTATACACGACTACTTTGAATTCACAACTAATGAATAAAAAAATATATGCAATCTGTATCTTTATATTTTGTGGTAGGGGTTGGGGCAATATTAGATACCTCTAGTCAAAGAGCACCTCCATTAAGCAAGCATTTTTAAATTTCCCTTGGGTGCTTGCTTAATACAAGTTCTACTGTAAAGCGAAATTTTGAACCTTTAAAAATGAAACAAAATAGGATCTGTGATTTAATCAGATTGAAAAATGCAGTGGATTTAAAAGCATTCTTCCAAAAAAAAAGAGAGAGAGAGAGAGAGAGAGAGAGAGAGAGAGAGAGAGAGATTTTATTTCAATAAACAATAATTCGCTTACGCGTGGGGGTCTTTAGCAGTGGGAGGAAACCTGACGACCCAGAGAAAACCCATGAGGTTGGACAGGCGCCCCTCTCCTTGTCACATACAACTGGGGATTTGAAACCACGCCAGTTGACTAATTGGCCTTCCAAAAGGAATATCACAGTTTAAAATATACACACTTCATCAAAATTATGACATTTTAGATACTTAAATTATTTCATAACAAAAAGAAAAATTGAAACAGAAACTAACATTAATTTGACATGTGTTTCAAAACAATGTGACATAAAATATAAATCAAATATGGCAAAGAAATGTAAACAAATAACATAATACTCAAATTTAGTTTTTAGTTTAGGCCAAACAAATTTGTTATTTAGTTCTTGAGTAGTTCAATAAATAGCTTCACATGAGTGATGTCGGTTTTTCTTACCATCCAAATGACTAGATATTCTTCCTTGCCAAGCCTTCTGGCTACCATTACTCGCATGTGGAAACTAGTAGTGCTGGGCATTGCCACTGCACAATCTCCGTTCCCAGATAGAAGTTCACCATTCGTTTATCTCTGGGAAATCTTGCTTGTCATTTATCAGTCTGAATTAGGTTCCTAAGCTCCTCCCCCAGTGGCTCCTGATTGGCTGGATTTGTTTGAATGAAATGCTGCCAATTTCTCGACAATTAGGCATCGTTTAGATCGCATGAATTATATCTTGACATCAAAAGTTTATTCGAAAACAGCCGATTTGATGATTTACCTGGAACTATTTTTAGCGTGCAATGTTTCTGATTCTGCGATATAAGCGTAAAGTAACCGACGGAAGGATACATCAAGTGACATTTAAAATTTCCCAGAGAGAAACGAACGGTAAATTTCTCTGGGAGCTGAGATTGGCCACTACAGTCACGATACGATATATATTGTAATTCGGGTGCTACGATATGATTCGTATCATGATTCATATCCAGGTCAATATTTACCAAGAAAACAACAGGAAAAATGAATAATTGATATTTTTAGTCCTGTCGATGTCGAAGAAATAAAACTGTTTTATATCACGATACTGATGTGGATCAAAATAAGGACCAAAACAATTTAAGACTGTTTGTGTACCTATGGATAATGTGTGACATGGATAATTAAGAGTGACAGGTTACTTACTGAAGCAACAAAAAAAACATACAAAAATAATCTTGAAAAATCGATTCAGCGTCTCGCTATTCAATACACAAATCGCGAGAGGGTGAATCGCGATACATCAATTCAACAATATATAGTGCCTGTACTAGAAACCAGTCTAGAAAATCTCACGAAACTTTTTCAGCCACCACCAGGAGGGACCTACTTATTAATGAACCAGCACAGTACTCACTCACTAAACCAACTTGGCTCCCATAGACCTAAATAAGGCACTCGGCAAACCTCAGCAGACTCCAGTACCCTCCATCTTGCCTCGGCTGTATGACGAAGTCCCCCATTGGAACTATCAAGTTTCCAGATTACCAACGTCCTCACCTATGACGTCGCATTTGAAGAATTTTTATCATACAAAGTCTGAAGCTATTTTCTTTCTAAAAGCGGCAAATTTTCCTTATAAGTAAACCGGTGCCGCATTGCAATTGTATAGGTGTAGGTACATATCACTTACTGTCATACAGCCGAGGCTAGATGTAGAGTACCGGAATCTGCCGAGGTTTTCCGAGTGCTAAATAAGATACTGAAATGACTTCTATTTGTATTATAATTCTTATTTATTTTATAATGTTTTTTTTATCTTTCAGATATCAAGTTGTATTTTGAAGGAAAGGGTAAATCACATTGGGAATTGAAACAAGGACGTAGTAAAACTGATTATAGAGCTCAGGAATCATACATTAATTATACTATTATATTATTTGGTGCAGGTAAGTTCATCATACATTAATTACACTATTATATTATTTGGTGCAGGTAAGTTCATCACATTTAGGCCTTTCATATAGTTTTAGTGAATCAAAATGGTTAATTTATGTTTCCAATTTCTTTGAAACTCTGTGATAGTTTTTCGAAGAAGCGTAAACTTTTAGTTTCCATCTGATGATGGTCTGTATACTGGCTGAAGTTATAGTGGTAAGAGATTGTCACAATCATCAAGTCACTTAAATGAGTTACATAGACCCAGACGCATTGCCCAGTGGGGAGGTCCAGGAGGTCAGACCTTTTAGATGTATGGTTAGAAAATGCCATGGTGGCTAAGTGGGTAAGACACTGGCTTGCTAGCCTGGAGGTCGCGGGTTCGCTCCTGGTGTTGGCCAACAAAGTTCAGTCGGAGCTTAACAGGAGGACATTAAACCCCATTTCATTTCAGAAAATGCCACTGTCAAGGCAAATGTCAGTATGTTAAACCAACTCGGTAAACTTTTAACAAGAGGCTAAATCTTGCTCCATTGTTTCAGCGAGGTGGTGAAACTGAATATTTTATATTTCAGCTAATACAACTAGTGAACATCCTGCTGGTACCCATTTCTACCCCTTCTCTCTCCGACTCGCACCAAACTTACCTTCATCATTTGAAGGAAAACGAGGTTATGTAAGATATTTTTGTAAGGCTACTATTGATAGACCGTGGAAGTTTGATGAAAACACAAAGCGAGCTTTTACTGTTATACATCATTTAGATTTAAACGCCTCACCAGAAGCCGGGGTAAGTATAATTGATTAAAGTAATGTACAAAATGTTTGTTCATAATTATGGAATTGGAACTAAGAAGGGCCAATATGAGCATCTTTCCTCTTCAAGCCCAGCTTCATTAGGGTACATCGTTCCCCCCCCCCCCCCCCGTAATTTCATATTCTTCAATGGATTCATTTGTAGATCCCACCATTTGTAGATCCGAAGTTAAAGATGCATTATGTAAGAGCTAAATCTGCCTCAAATGTTATATCAATCATTAATTAGACATGACTCGTTCTGAACTTCAATGGACCATTCTCACCGATGTACACAAAATTTGGGAGCCACAGTGGCTCAGTGAGTATGACATTGGCTTGCTAACCTGGATGTCTCGTGTTCGATCCCTTCTTGGCCGAGGAAGTTCATCAGGATTTTCCGGAGTGTTTCCACCTTGTCAGTGGTGCAGGACAGAGGGTCTGGCAAGGGACAATGTATAGTCGTTTGGATGGGACGGAAAACCGAGGTCCCTTGGCAGTTAGAATTTGATATAAGAGTAGGCCGCAGCACCACAGTCCGGGCAAAATTTCCCTCATAGCACACTGTATGGCATATGCGCGTCTTCATTAGCCCAGTCGGAGCAGAACAGTAGGACGTTAAACCCCATTTCATTTCATACACGAAATTTGCCCGACATAAGGGGATTTGATGCACCCTAATCTTCATTACCCCGGTTTATACAGTAAAGTAGGATGTTAAAGATACATTATGTAAGATTTAGATAAGAAGCTAGCCATTCTTGCTATAATAGTTCAAAAATAGATAATGTAAAATGAATAATTTGAAAATTTCATTCAAATTACTCTATTGCGAGCGAAGATATTAGCCTTTGAAGGTTTGACAAGACGTGTGCAATAATTTCAACCACCTTACTGGTTGGTCGAAGCTAAGTCCTACTCCTCCATTTTTAGCTTAAATCAAAATATGGCTGAACTGTTCTAATCTATTTAATATCAGAGAAATCTGATGCCATCGAGTGTTGATTATGGCCTGGATAAGTTACTTAATGTCTAATTAATAATTTAGAAAACATTTCAGGCATAATGTCAATCTGTTTCACAGAGAATTACGAGTCTCGTATAATATCTCTGTCATAGATGACTGCCTTAACACGTGCTGTCACAGCACGCGGTGTGAATCATTGGCTGAATGGCGCGTGCATTGTTTACATAAGACATAACTGCTTCGGAGAGAATGCTGCATTTTAGTCAATTTAATACCCATTTACACTAAATAGGAAATAATTTTTACCTACAAATACGTCAAACGCCTTTATTTATTTTTCCAATATATACAAAAAATGTTTTAGAATTTAATTTGTCGCAGGAAAAAAGTTAATATTTCTAGCTCATTAAGCCGCATCAATGTCATCCTTATCAGTGATTGTCGCGGCCAAGCAAATATTCACTGCGGATCAGTGTGGCATAATGTATGTTTAAATCCCATTTTATTTAATTGCCACTTCAAACATTAACAATATTAGAAGTTAGTTTTATTTTATTTTTATTTTAATAGTATCCTATATATGCCGAACAAGAAGAAACTATAGCTGGATGTTGTTGTTCAGATGGATCTATATCAGCTGTATTATCTATCAATAAAAAAGGTTACGTACCTGGTGAACCCTTGAATTATTCTATACACGTAGACAACAGATCAGATAAAAATAGCGAAAGAATGTTACTTGAACTCAAACAGGTAATTTCTCTTAACTTTTTGTCGTTAACCTCGTTCTGGTCATTGGTAAAATTGTTCATCAACTATATCGGATTAAAATGATGTTTCAATATTGAGACGAAGAATATTATTGAATTTCAGCGTTTTTTCTTTATAGAACACTCTGGCAACAAAATTATCTTCCAAACTCTGATTCAAATGTGTTGTTTAAATTGGTGAAACGAAGAAACTTGTTTGATTTAAACAATTTCTGTTAATATCTTCTGGAGTAGTTACTCTGGTTGTCAGGGTCGGTTGGATGGTCGAATGGTTACCGTGCGCGTATTGTATTGTAAGGTCTGTCATTAAGTCATCTGGCGTGGTTTTGATTCCCCAGTTGTACGCGACAATGAGTAGGGTCGTCTGTCCAACCTCATGGGTTTTCTCCGGATCCTCCCGTTACCTCCTCCTGCTAAAGACTCCTACACGCAAGCGAATTAATGAAATAAAATGGAACCATATGTTAGTCCCAAAATGACCTAGTTTTGTGTCAAGTGGACATTAAACCCCATTTCTCTCTCTCTCATTTGTCAATCAGTTTGTCTGTCACACTCTTTGGGAAACAAAAAATCTGGTTCTAATTGAGCTAGAATGTTTAAAAATTATTTAGTTGTTTGTTAGGTAAATGCCTTGACAGAGTTTGATGATGAACATTTTCTGCTTAGGCTAAGCAGAGGTAAGTAATTTGATTGGGACACGATAACTTTGATTCTAATTATTTTAGTCAAGTTCTAATTGAATATTATTTTGTAATTTCAGGATGTAACATATACAGGCTATTCATCCAGTCTGTTCTCATCAGGAAATCCTAAAACACATGTAAAAAGTGATGTGTTTTGTTTATTTTCTGGGACGAGAAATATAAAACCTAATAACTCGGAAGATATCAATCAGACCGCTACCATTCCAGCTCTTCCACCATCTAATCTAGATGGCTGTGGAATAATTGATATAAAATACACATTAGTTGTAAGTATACATGTATCAATTAATATATCTACATCAGTCAGTGTTTTTTAAGGCGAGCGATCGCTTTCGAGCACCTGCCGCTCACCTGAATGTCGACCGAGAGGAGTTTTTTTTTTCCCTGCCCTTAAAACTGAAAACCACTCTCATTTATGAAACCAGGAATGACCCCATTACATGCAGTTATTGATTTTAGAACCATTTCTCATGCACATAACTAATCACTCTCCTTAATATCAGATCACTCTCCTTAATTTCTAAATCACTCTTCTTATTAAAACTGGGAGAGTTTTTTAAGGGGAGCGATTTTTTCAATTCGTTGATTGAGGGGAGCTTTTTTGGGCTCTCTTCTGAAATACAAACAACAATGACTGCTACATAAAATAAAATGAAATGATTCAATATATATTTTAATACGAGATGGTTAGGTGGATCCTTAAAGCGAATTTCAAATTTTCTAAGAAAGTCAAAACGTAATTATTTCTATGTCTTTTGCTCAATAGGTTGTCAACTCACAATTATACGATCATAGGTGTCATTCTCACACTTAAAACTCATTTACACAGAAAATAACACAATTACCTCCCAATTACCTCCCTTGTTTTCTATTCTCCACCATGGAGTAGCTTTTTTTATGCCAATTTCTCAGCTGGCAATAGTGAATTATAGGATTAATAGGATTATTCTTTAACAAGGTAGGACTGTTTATGGATACCATCTATTTTCAGGCTTTATTTTAATAAATTTTAAAAATATAACTTAAAAATTTGAAATTTCCTCTCTAAAAGACTAGCATAGGCTGGACATGCCGCTAGATCTGTGTAACAGCTGAATCAAAGATGATACAGCCAGAGAGTCATCTTCTGTTTCGCCAGTGGTCTCATACTGTTCTACTCCACTATACCCTGGGTGAATCCATAGGTTTTTCACAATTTCAAATTATCTGCTCTGGCTTTGATCTTAGACTTTTTGTTTACGTTCACAACAATATGGCGGCTTGTTGAGAGAGAGAAAAATGGAGTTTAACGTCCACTCGACACAAACTAGGTCATTTCGGGACTATCATATGGTTTTAATTTTATTTCCAAAATTCGCTTGCGCATAGGGGTCTTTAGCAGTGAGAGGAAACCGGAGGACCTGGAGAAAACCCACGTGGTTGGACAGACGACCCTACTCCTTGTCACGTAAAATCGGGGATTCAAAACCACGCCAGATAACTCAATGGCAGGTTTTATGATACAGCACGCACATGCTAACCATTCGCCCATCCAAACCCCCATGGCGGCTTGTTGGAACATGATGAGAGTTACTTCCCTTCGCCAACTTCCTTCGCAATTAATGATTTATGGGATTGGTCGATGAAAATAGCACAAAATCATCAGGGGCAGATAACTTGAATACGTGCCCCCCCCAAATTAATCTAGATGTTATCATAACATTTCAGGTGGTATGCATATATAAACAATTTAGGTCAAATTACTTTATTTTGAGCAAAATTATAAATATTAGAAGTTTTGACAAGAAACAGTGTAAATAGTCTCAGTTGTCAAGTACCATTGCTAAGAAAACAGTCTCAATTTTCAATTAATTTTCAATGAAGATATGGCAGACATTTTCAACTAACGTTCTCAATATCTAAGCCATCTAATGTTTTTGACAGTTGATCATATGCCTGTCATATGAATAAAGGTCTAAAAAATAATTTATATAACATTTCAAGCCAGGCAAATGAACTGTAATAGAAAGATTTAGCTCTTACATAATGCATTGTTAAATAGTTATGACAGTTCAATGTACTCTGTAACTCATGGGCTGTGAAGGCCCTTGGGCTTCTTGTAATACTCCATGATATTGATGGGTTTTGTTTTTTACAGCTAACTGTTTCAGTCGGATGGTCAACATTAGAGATAGAAAAGGAAATCATAATTGGTACCATTCCTTTACATATTCCCATGGCTGTGCCTTCTTTTCCATCAGTTGTCTCCCCTGGGGCTATGGCAACTGCTCCTCCACTGGAGCCTCCACCATATGTTGATCGTAAGTTATTTTCTTTTGAATGAGGTGATTTGCGCTAAACAAAATATATCCTTAATTGCTTTGTAGCCATATCTTTATAGAATATGGTGGCTTCGATCAACCCTTTAGAGTTTTTGACCACTTGAAACTGCCCATAGCTAAGGCTCCTTTAGTTCCTTTTGGAACGGATAGTCCTCTGACCGTTCCTGTACGTGGGGGTAGAGCATCATTTTCATTAATTTTGTATTGTTGAACAGACAGGAACGGTCAAGAACGGTCAGGCGACTTCGCCCGTTGAGGACTCCTTAAACATCATTTTCATTAATTTTGTATTGTTGAACAGACAGGAACGGTCAAGAACGGTCAGGCGACTTCGCCCGTTGAGGACTCTCAAACATTAAAGTCATGGAATTAATCGTGGCGGCCCCAATAACTTGTACATATGAAGAGCTAAATATATGTAATCTCTGGGTAAAATTCACCCCCCTCAAGTATAACATACAGTTTTTTAGTCTCAAAATGACCTGGGTGAAGTGGTGCTGAGACATTAAACGATGTTCCATTTTAATTAAAGATACATTATGGGAGATTAGATAAAGAACTGGTAGTTCTCACTATAAGGGAATGTAAATTGAATTTGGTGAAAATTTCAGTCAAATTGATCCACAGGGTATTTAGCAATTGAATTTTGGGGCTAGCCTCGATCATCTTTACTGAAGTCTGTACGATAAAAAGCATAGTCTCGACTATCCATTTTTTTTGATTTGATCAGAAGCAGCAGACCAAGTTCTAATCCAGTAAATATCGCAGGCTAGCGATGCCATCGAGAATTGATTATGGTCTGGATAAGTTGATTAATAATTTAGATAACATTTCAGGCCTAAAGAAAGACCTGCAATAGGCAGATTTAGCTCTTGCATAATGTATGTTTAAGTTTATTTAAATCTTTTCCTTACAGCTCCCCCAGCATATGAGGACTGTGTGTTTGGTGGTGCAAATATTAGAGATGAAAACGATGATGAACATACAACAGGTTTATCGGCATGGACGCCGGCATATCCATACTATCATTGGGGAGAGAATGGTCCCCCTCCGATAGCTGTACCATCAGCCCCCCCTCCAGCTTATAACCAGGTGTAATATAAAACTGCCCTGCAGAAAAATGATACATGGGGACCTCATAGTGGTACAATTTGCTGTAAGGCGAGTTTTAGTATGGGGTAGAGTGAATATGGTTCCTAATAACATTATAGTGAAGTCCTTGTATATAAGTGTTTCGCTATATCATTGTGTTATAGTGGAGTTTATCTGTAGGTATTTAATTATGTTTTAAAAACATACATAGACATATATATCACAAGTCTCCATCTTATGCAAAACATTTATTAATCATATTTAACTTGATAAGCACAGCTAAATTTTCAGACATATTTTAAAGTGTTTTTATTTAGATCAGTCAAGTGGTGATATTAGCCTGTTATTAAGTAAAGAAGATAATGAACAAGCCATACCATGTTCACAATAACTTTATAAAAGAAAACATTAGTCAAGTCTTGTAACAACAAAAACAAAGTGATAACAGCCTACTGTATATATGGGTAGCATCACCATTGTTCAGTGTAAATAATATTAATAATCTTATTCTGTTTTTTACTATGTATATAGGTTTCTATATTAAACAGTTGACATATTCACTACCATTGTTTAACAGTTAATACGCATAAATACACACTCAGTAGGGTTATACCCTCAGTAGAAATATAAACCCAGTAGATATTCAAATACACATAAATACACACCCAGTCAACATTCAAATATGCATAAACACCCAGTCAACATTCAAATACACATAATCACTCAGTAGACATTCAAATACACATAAACAACCAGTAGACATTCAAATACGCATAAATACACACCCGGTAGACATTCGAATACACATAAATACACACCCGGTAGACATTCAAATACACATAAATACAAACCCGGTAGACATTCAAATACGCATAAACACCCAGTAGACATTCAAATATGCATAAACACCCAGTAGACATTCAAAAATGCATAAACACCCAGTAGACATTCAAATATGCATAAACACCCAGTAGACATTCAAATACACATAAACACCCAGTAGACATTCAAATACGCATAAATAATTTAAATTTTGTGACATCTGAAAGCGATAGTGATGTAAAGATTGTGTAAAGAACTTAATCCAGTGATTTTGCATCAAAGAGAAGTTGTATGAAGTGTTCTAGGCAGGGGAAGCATGGAGTGACACAAATTTTGTGTACGGCCTGGTACACTTCACCAATTAATCAGAAGGCTTGGAGCAATATGATGCAACTCAGTATGGTGTTCAAAAACCAAAGTTTCAAAAACAGTTTGGTATGTAGTCTTCTCTAATCAAAGACTGTCACCATATCAGTGAAATCTTGCCAGCACTGTGCTTATATAGTTATATAGATAATCTGGTCGTGTATATACAATGGTCTTTCTTGTAAATATTTGTGGAAAATGTAATATTGTATTCTACTATAAAACTCGAAATAAGCTACAGCATACAGTACAAGGAGAAAAAGGGCAAAGCAAATACTTACTGCTGCGCCTATAGCAAAATCCCATGTTTTTGGGGTAGATCATTTTTAGATGTACTCAGTGCTCATGTGACAAAGCTGTCTTATCAGATGCTTTTTTAGACAAAAATCTGTTTTATTGTTTAAAAGTGTTATCAGTTTTGTAATTCATTCAACTCACATATGATTGGAAATCTCAAATCTTTTTCGCTCTGATAAAGTATTTGTTATCTTAGATAGGACTATATTTGCTACTGTGAGTGAAGATTTCCAATTAATTAAGAATAATTTTGATGAAACTAGTTTGGGTTTGATCTAAAATACACACAACCTTCAATAAAGCACGTACCTTTTTACAGTATTCACTTTATTTGGTCTTAAATTTTTTTTTGATGAAGGAACCATGGGTGGAATTGTTAGAACTCTGAAAACAAATGCAACTTTCTCAAAATTCTGTCCATCACATCAAAAAATGAATAACATTGAAAAATGAAATTATTGAAATTGATAATCTTTGTAAATGTTCCTTGGCAAAATTCTCCTTGTTATATAGGCAGTGAATTGATAGATTGGCTTAAAAAAAACCCAAAAAAACAGGTGATATGGCAAAAACAAGTTTGTTTTGAATATAAGGCCACAAAAAATAAATACTTTGGTTCTCAGACAGTCCTTAACAAAAAATCTGATGTTGAGGAGGTCTATTTTTGTATTTCTATTTTTGTGTTTCTATTTTGACAAGGCTAAATGACTTATCATAAACATCACATTTCAAGTTGTTTATAGGAATGTATGTCAGGAACATTTATCAGTGTACTTGATAAATGGAGCCTGTGCCACATTACGTCCTGTAATCGGGGGTTGGATGGCCAAATGGTTAGCATGTGCGCAATGTATCATAAGGCCTGTCATTGAGTCAACTGGCGTGGTTTCGAATCCCCGGTTGTACGTGACAAAGAGTAGGGTCGCCTGTCCACCCTTGTGGGTTTTCTCCAGGTCCTTGAATTATTGAAATAAAATTAAACCATATGTTAGTCCCAAAAAGACCTAGTTTGTGTCGAGTGGATGTTAAACCCCATTTCTCTCTCTCGTGTTCCTGTAATCAGGGTAAAAAATTTATGTGCATTAATAAATTTTTATTTTTTAAAATGACACAAGATTATCTGAGCAGCAGAATATTTTCTATATGATCTAAAAAATATTGTTATGATGCCACAGCTCTTTGTTTCTAAAATGTATTTTCTGGTTTGTGTTGCCATAGTGTAAATACTTCAATTTTGAGAACGCTAATTTGTTAATTATGAAATAATATTGTATTATATTAATTTACTAACCTTATTGTATGCATATTATATTAACATTATAGAATACAGCCTGGTTTTTTTTTAATATATATATTTTTTATTTAGCTAATTACCATGTACTATATGTCATACTCAGATCTGAAACAATATTTATAATATTTAACTGTAACCTTTCATTAATACATGTGGTTCGATGTTGTGGGGTTATCCATTTAAATTGTAAGTTATTCCATGGACATTATAAGGTCCGTGGTTATTCCGAATCGACAGACTTGACACAGAGTCCAAGATCAATCTCAGTTTATTTCATCTGTAGTCAGTAGTTGATGGAGATAATTTTTTTTAATTTGGTGCATGCTCTGTGGATTTCGAAATGTCCTGTCAAGTAATCCCGCACATCATCCAAGTACATTTACCATTTGTTAAAATACAGATGTGATGTCATCATTTGATGTGCCAATCATATATTATTTATACTGCATGAAATATTGGACTCGTCTGAAGATTTCTTTGAAATGCATGTGTAGGATAGTGTCTGTATTTTAAGTTGTTTAATGGTCTCGAGCTTAAGACATTGTATAATATATTTGTGTGGTATCAGTATACTTCTTAAAGATACATTATGTAAGATTTAGATAAAGAGCTAGCCATTCTTGCTGTAATAGTTCAAAAATAGATAATGCAAAATGAATAAATAATATGAAAATTTCATTCAAATTACTCTATTGCGAGCAAAGATATTAGCCTTTGAAGGTTTGAAAAGACGTGTGCAATACTTTCAACCACCTTACTGGTTGTTCGAAGCTAAGTCTCGCTCCTCCATTTTTAAATTAAATCAAAATATGGCTGAACCATTCTAATCTATTTATTATTGGAGAAATCTGATGCCATCGAGAGTTGATTATGGCCTGGATAAGTTAATTAATGTCTAATCAATAATTTAGATAACATTTCAGGCCAAAAGAAAAACCTGCAATAGGCAGATTTAGCTCTTGCATAATGTATGTTTAATGTCTTGTTCTTACCCATGAAACCATACTTAGTAATGGTAATTATATACTATGATGCTTTTTGTCTATATATTATATTATATTTAATAATATTTAAATCTAGATTATATAACCTGTAAATAATAAACTCATTGATATAGATCACAAACTCTTAACAAAATTTCATTTCATTTTTTTTATTAATACAATATATTTATTTAATTGAAACCTAGATAATAACTGGATTCAATTGACTTTAAGCTCTACAACTTCACTTAACGTGGGTTAAAGTTACCACAGAGTTCATTTTACCCTTGTATCTGAAGGGCTGAGAGATCCTGATACTGGTAACTATGGATACCGTTCAATACTGGTAACTATGGATACCGTGTTCAAGATACATGTACCATATATCTGTGTTTTATTGTTCTGTTTTTGTGTTTCAGTATTTATTATTAGGTACATGTAGCCCAACAAGCAACTGTTAAATATACACTATTACATGTCTTTATTATCATCCACATGTATTACAAATGATCATGTTGCCTACATATGGTATATTTGTATTTAATCATAAAAAACCCCATGAATTTGACCTTGCAAATGGGGGATGCTGCAATCTGGTTAAAATACAGATCTATATTTGATTCTTTTCGGGGGGGGGGGGGGGGGTGTACTTTCGATGGCCTATACTACATGACGATCTCACCAGTTGTAGTGGGAGACCACATCAAAGGTCATACAAGGACGTCAGACATTTGATTAACCAGTGGCAATCAGCTTTGATATTTCTACTGGTTTACCTACAGTTTCGTGAACCTCACGCCAAAAACTCACCGTAATAGACCCTTCAATTGGCTAATCCCTCATATCATCCAGAACGTGGGTTATATAATACCTCTTCCAGATCCCAGTGTAGTAAAGACAAGTAAAACAAAATTTTGGACTATAAAAAACGAAACGAAATAGGATCTGTGTTTTAATCAGATTGGGAGATGCTGCAGGCTACCTAAAACATGGATGCTAATTCGCCCGTATATGCCGGACATGTCCTACGCTATTATGTTTGCCTACAAATGGTATATATGTATTTAATACTAAAAAAAGATGAATTTGACCATACAAATGGGGGATGCTGCAGTCTACCTAAGCCCCGAAATAGATGCTCACTGTTTATCATTCCATATGGTGCAGTGAACTATACACCACGAACCGTACATCTCGTTGTTCAGGATTTCAAAGCAGTTTTCATACAACTTTATGTTTTGTCTCTCTTTATGTTCAGTTGATCAATTTACAATTATCACTTTTATGTCTATGGTGTCCCAATATATGTCTTGTTTTATTATATATTTTCTTATATTTGTTAATTTTGCATCCTTTGCTTTGGAAATATTGCTTGAAATGAATGTTAACATTACATAATGAATTGTATTGTTTTATATTCTAGATACTTATAATCATAAAAACTAGCATTCATTAACCCTTCAGCTCCAGAAACCACTTGAAATTACAGCTCCCTTGAGCGTCTCGAACCACTCAAGTCACATGAATAATCGTGAACTATTTAAAGCCTGTATACTATTTATGGACTCGGGCAACATAGAGAGGTGTCATTTTGAGTGATTTCGAAAATGAGCTCCAAAATTCAATGTAAAAAGATCATATCTCATTTTTTTTTTTTTTGCTGGGGGGGGGGGTAGTCAGTATTTACATGTACTAGGTTTTAAAGGATTAATTACCATTTTAGTAGAAGTATTAGATAAAGCAGGTGATTCATTAGAATATATTAATATGCAAATGCTATGAATACTGTATATTTACACTTGAGATTTCAATGTATATAAAATAATTAATTAATTTGTAAACTTTGCCCCTGAAATATGTTTTAATTTTAGTCAGTTTTTTCATAATTTTTTAAAATATTTTAATTTGCTCATTTTTTTGTTATTGCAAGAATGTACTGTATATTGTTTTAAATATTTTGATATTATGCTCTAGAATATCCAATAATAGAGAAAAGGTCTTTCAAATTTTGTGTTTTTGTCGCTTTTATGTTAAAAAAAAAACCTCTTTTAAAATGAATATAGCTATCGTACATTTATATGCATATACAATGTAGTTAATGCAGAGATTTCAGTCATTCAGAAAATATGTTTTTGGTTGAAAATATGTGATTTTTCTAAAATCATGAGGAGCATTGGCATCAGATGTTCTAGAAATAGTAAGCATACCCTGTCCCAGACACAACATCATCACTATCTATAGACTATCTATTAAACCTGTTATTCAGAATGTTTATTAACTGATACATTATTAACGTAAAGCAAGGACTTCTAACTTACAACATCATTCTGAAATCATGTGACAACATAGGTCAAAGTTCATACTGTGTCATAAAATAACGTGTTTCGCGTGTTTTATTTTAAGGTATCTGAATCATTTCATATTGATTTTTATATTTTACATATGATTTATTGTTGGATGCCTATGTGTGTCCTTACTTTATGCCATTTTTATAGGGTCAAAACTACTTTCACTTTGGCAGTGTTTGGTGGTATAGGTAGAGTGGTCTAATACCTTAGCTTGGTCTCGGGCTGGTATGTGACAAGGATTAGAGGTGCCTGCTTAAAGGGACATTATGTAAGTTTTAGATAAAGAGCTGGCCGCTATCGCTAAAATATTTCAAAAATAGATAATGCATAATGAATAGGCTATATTGAAAATTTCATTCAAATTACTTATATTGAGCGAATTTATCAATGTTTGTAATTTTGACAAGATGTGTGCATTGATCATAACCACCATACTCGCATCACCATTTTTAAATTAAATCATTAAATGACCAAACTTTTCTAATATACTTAAAATTGGAGCCATCCGATGGCGTCAAAAGTTGGAGTAGATTATGGTCTTGATAAGTTTATTAATGTCTAATTAATAGTTTATATAACATTTCAGGCCTAAAGAAAGACCTGCAATATACAGATTTATCTCTTACATAATGTATCTTTAATTTGTCAGTTTTCCTCCCACTGCCAATTATTTAAATAAAATATGTGTTAGTCCTGAAATGACCAATTTTTTGTTGAGTGGACATTAATCTCTCTCTGTGAAAATATAGCCTATAGCTCGGTTAAATTTTGAGGGTTGCAAATGCCAATAAATATCAAAGTTTGTTAAATTTATTGAAATTGTTGTATAATGTGCAATAAAAAGACCAAATTTTCTGTCTGGATTTACATATTCAAATTTAAATTAATTAACATGATAAAACCAATATTTTACAACTAAGTTGCCAGTCAATAAATTGTATTATATAAAATAAGGATTTTGTAATATAATACATATAATTACAGTATTTATTGGCAATGGTAGCATTCTTTGAAACTGGCTATATTATGATTAATTATCATTTTAAACAAATTATATATTATGAAGCAATGAAAATTAAAGCTGGAGATATCTTTGTAAAGTTTGCTTTCTTGAGGATCTATAGATGCTGTGGTGAGGATCAGGAAAAAAGTGTGGGATCCTCCAAACTCAAGAAAAACAGATACTCTTTTTATTAGTGGAGAGGAGGTCTATAGGCTTCTGCCTGTTCTCCAATCCTGTTTCTGTAAATAAATTTTGTTTAGAAAAAAAAAATTAGTGGTGTTCAATAATATAACATTTCGGTCTCAATTGACCATCAGCACATTGAACACCACCAAAATTATATCTGTTTATTCTTGAGTTCAGGAGATCCCTCCATCTTTGTTTCTATAATACTGAACCCAATTTGTTACTTAGTATGGTTATTTTCAGACGGTTGCGTTATTTCAAGCCAGTGCAAATGCCGGATTACTTTTAACTATAAATTTATATAGCTGACAGTTTCTGGAGCAAGAATGCTTCTGGAATCTGGATGTCAATTTTTTGGCTTTCATCCATATATAAGTCAATACAGAGTATTAGATGAAGGCCTGACTTCCACGGAAAAAAGTATCGACTTATAGTATACCCGAAAAATATGGAAGTCTAAATTGCAAATTGTAACTTATTTAGGTTGATCAATTGTGGGTAATTCTGTAAGTTTTTGAGAAATAATAGGCTCACATCTATATCACATAGATATTAGAAGTACTAATAATTTTGGAAATTATTTTGTATGAATATCACCATATTATAGTTAAATACATAGGCTGTTATTGTTATTTTCCCTTTATTCCGTTCTTTTGCGCTTAATTAAGGCAACACAAATAAAATAACTTGTTTCTCGGGCACCGCCCGCACGCAAAATTGGTTGCGCGTGCAGTCTATTTATTAGTCTTGATGAAAAAAAATAAATATGTAACGCCCGCCCGCACATCGACAAGCAAGTCGTAAAAAAAATATCCCGCATGTACCTACATCCGCCATACATGTATATCTATTCAAATGTATTAAAACTGATTCAGATGAACATGCTGTCTTTTTTTATCCGAACAATGGCGAAGTTTGGCAGATTTGCCTTTTTTATTGATATCGAAAGAACCTCCATTTTGTATCACGTGATATTAATTACCTCCCCTGATAAACTAGAATTTGATTCGTGTTAAAAGTCATTGGCGACAATATTTCAATCATTCGATCGTAATCGGCTCATTATTGCCGGCTTCAGTCGGTCCTTGTTTGGAAAATCCTATTGATAAAATAATGAACCGTAGAACAGGTTAATTAATTATAGCTAAGAATACGATACGATGACGATAGTCGTCATAATGCATACCTTAGAATCTGGGTCATTATTAGCACATTTACGGTAGTTTCGATAATCCGGAAAATAATAATTGGATTACCGATTTGATGGTTTTACTGACCAGTTGTTAGTTAGATTTAAATAGTCATTCAATATAAACACCGGATAGAACACCGAATATCCTGAGAAACACACCGAATATCCCAAGAAACAGTATTTCCGGCAATCTCCAATACCGATGACACGGTGTGACATGCATTGGTTGGAATTCGGTAAATAATTATAAATAAACCGGCGATACTAGATTTAGTTTTAAATACTGTTTACCATGATTATTATTTTTGATACACCTGGTGAAAGAGGCTTAGTTTTTAAAAATATTGTTGTCTTTATGGAGGGCTATTACATAGTCGTATATGGAATTTTATTTTAAACCAATTTCAATTATGTGAATTAAATATGGAAAATTATTTTCCTTTCAGTCAGTGTTCAGTCTCAGTGTTTTAGTAGACTTGATTTTGGGTTTATGTTTTAAGTATGTACAATAAAGTTGAATATAACGGAAAGCAAAAACGTAAACAAGTAATGACTTTCTCATTTAAAAAAAAAAAAAAAGAAAGACCGCCCTCCCGCCCCAACAATTTTCAGCAATAGCCAAATTTTATTTTGCACCATCAATGAGTAAAAAAAAAAAAAGAAACCGCCCTCCCTCCCTACAGTTTCAGCTGTCAGTTGCCCGAGAAACAAGACATTTATTTTGTGTGGCCTAATGATTTTAACTTTGCTGTTACTCATTTACAATTTTATATAGATAATTGTAAGAACTGTGCTTGTTCAAAATAAATACATTTTTTATGCATTTTAATCTCAGTTCTTTTATTCAACATCTTTGCAGTGTCGCACACTTTCAATCAGTTTTTAAGACAATTGATCCTAACCAGTGGGCCTGTCCAGGCTCGTGGGTTTTCTCCGGGACCTCTGGTTTCCTCCCACTGCTAAAGACCCCTACGTGCAAGCGAATTATTGAAATAAAATTAAACCATATGTTAGTTCCGAAATGACCTAGTCTGTGTCGAGTGGACGTTAAACCCCATTTCTCTCTCTCTCTCTCCCGAACCAGTGGCAGACGCAGGATATTTTATTAGGTTTTGAAAAACGAGTGTGTCAATAATGGTGATTTGTTGTGAATATCTAGACCCCAACCAACAAAAAGCTCAAATTCGCTCAGTGGGTTAAATATTGTCTTGTTAACCTGGTGGACGCGTTTTTGATCCCTGCATTGGCTGAGAAAGTTCATTGGGTGCAGGAAAGAGGGCCCGGCAATGGACAACTTATAGTCGTTTGAATGGGATGAAAAACAGAGGTCCCGCGTACACATTTGTGTGCACGTAAAAGATACCTTGACAGTTGGAATTCGATATAAGAGTAGGCTGCAGTGCCGCTGTCCGGGCAAAATTTCCCTCATAGCACACTGTATGGCGTATGCTCGTCTTCATTAGCCCAGTCGAGGCAGAACAGTAGGATGTTGACCCCCATTTCATGAAAACAGAATTGTAACTGGATTCACAACTGTTAAATGAGGGAGAGTGGGCCCTAGGATTCACCACTGTTCCCCTCCAGCAAGAACATGGACCTTTCACCCCATAGTATGGGGACCAAACACTACAGTAATGTAATGGATTCGATCAGCAAGATCGAGGGGTATTGAAATATTTTGATTTAGATATCTTCTATGATGTGGCAGTTATAATTCAATAGAGAATAGGTGAAAATTTGAGTTCTATAATAAACTCATATTTTTGGGCACTTCATGAACTTTGGGCAGTCATTTAGCATTCTTTGGTAAACACTGCTTTTAAGTCTGGGGGCTGTGAAACTAATGGGTTGACTACAACTTTGATAAAATGGGTGGGAATAGGATTTCAACATAAGAGGACCAAAATGACTCTGTGTGCCGAGTGAATTGAATTAAAGGTGAAGGTCATCTTAGAATGTTTTTAGAAAAAGTTTTTGGCATTCCTGGTAGTCCTGTAATTAATTATCCAGGTCTGATATGACATGGCTTGAAACTATGCTATAAAGCTCAACAAACATAAGGAATATCCAACAGATATACAAGATGAAAGGTATAATTTGTCTACTTGAAATTTTTAACTGCATTCATTCTTGCATTCTGAACACAGATATATGTGATCTAAATTCTAGAACTATATATAGTCACCACAGGCCAAGGCTCTCACTTCAAAATTTTGGCAGCTTGATAGTTTTAGTCATCTTAAATTAAAGTTCTAACATTCAGATTTGAACAACCACAAACATATTTTTGTTGCTTTGAAGAAATACAATCTGTTAATGTAGATTGCGCCATTAATGTGACTAGACTACCCATATCGAATATATTTGATTTTCTAGCATGCATTAAAATTGATTGACAGGTTGTTGTCTAAGCCAAACATTTTGAATGCCAGGAGGACGATGCCTCCTGAACCCACAACAGGGCTTTGTAAGCAGCCCCTATATATGTCCCCAGATGCCTGTATCACGTCCAACAATTTGCAACTACCCAGTCAATATCTTGTTTCGAAATCTGTACCCCTTTCAACACAAGGAGTAGGGTCGCCTGTCCAACCTCGTGGGTTTCAGGGTCCTCCGGTTTCCTCCCACTGCTAAAGATCCCTATGCGCAAGCAAATTATTGAAATAAAATTGAACCATGTGTTAGTCCCGAAATGACCTAGTTTGTGTCATGTGGACGTTAAACCCCATTTCTCTCTCTCTCTCTCACCCCTTCCAACAAGCTCGCTTGCTGCTCAATGTTTAATATGTATTTCAGATGTTTGTCTATAAAGGTGTGATTCTATATAATGGTAGGCGGACTAATTTACTGATGAATCCTTATGCTAATCAGTTCTAGTAGCAGAATCACTAACCTTCTTTAAACCAAATGAAGATTAAAAAGCTAGAGATACATTATGTTAATCGTGATCAAGTATTTTATGCGGGACAGAATATAGAAGGGTATATTCTTCTGGTATTAAAAAAGACCACTCCCATCAATCGTAAGTAGCTTACTTTCTTTAGTATGGTAGCTCATGTTTGATCGTGGTGTGGTGTTGGCTCTCTTAACGTGGGTCGTGGAGGTCTCATGTTCGATCCTGCTGTTGGCCTAGAAAGTTCATCGTCATTTTCCGGTGTGCTTCCCTTTGTCAGTGGTATGGGACAGAGGGCCTGGCAAGGGACAATATATAGCCTTGACAGTTGGAATTTGATATAAGAGTAGGCGGTATTGCCGTTGTCTGGGCAAAATTTCCATCATAGCACACTATATGGTGTATACCCGTCTTCATTAGCCCAGTTGGGGCAGAACAGTAGGACGTTAATAAACCCCATTTCATTGCAATTCATTTCTTTAGTATGTGCAAGGGGGGGGGAGGGAGAGGATGGCCGAATGGTTAGCATGTGTCCGCTGTTACCTGTATCATAAGGTCTGTCATTGAGTCAACTGATGTGGTTTTGAATCCCCGGTTGTACGTGACAAGGAGTAGGGTCGCCAGTCCAACCTCGTGGGTTTACTCTGGGTCCTCTGGTTTCCTCCCACTGCTAAAGACCCCTACGCGCAAGCGAATTATTGATATAAAATTAAACCATATGTTAGTCCTGAAATGACCTAGTTTGTGTCGAGTGGAGGTTAAACCCCTATCTCTCTCTCTCAGTCCAAAAATGACCTAGTTTGTGTTGAGTATGCTGGTTCAGTGAATTAACCTACATCTTTTGTATAATTTATAATAGAACATACTGAATGCCATAAGGAGGTTTCAGTGTATACAAGTGTTTCTGGATCAGGAACTGATCTTCAAGTGCTACTCATCTTGTTCTTGTTCTTGTGGGCGACACTCTTTGAAAAATGCCTAAGGCGCCACTAATTCAAGTACGATCAACATGAAACTTGGCATGCTTGTTCTTTGGACTAATGCACATCCAATGACGTCATGCTCTGTTCCTGATCCATTTGGTTATGGTGTATGTTGACATTTGTTTTGGTTTTTTTTTTCTCACAGGTATTTGCTTGCATATAGGAGGACGTGGAAATTTTCTACAATTCACAAAAAAAATAAATAACCGTCAAGAGACATATTTAGCAGAAGTAAATTATCTGAGTATAAATCTTGAGTTAATACAACCAGGTATGAAATTTGTGAAGTTCAACTTTGATTCCATTCATTCGGAATTATGGGCACCTGTGTATAAATTTGTAGTCTGGAAATATGGGTACGGGACAACTTATCCCCTGACAACTCATCCCCTAGGACTATTCATCCCCGGATAATTCGTCCCCAGACAATTTGTCCCCAGATAATTAGTCCCCTAGGACTATTCGTCCCTTAGGACTATTCGTCCCATAGGTCTATTTGTCCCCGGGGGCAATTCGTCCCTGGACAATTCGTCCCCTAGGTCTATTCATCCCCTTATTATGATCAACAGCTAATTCTAAAGAAATTAAAGAAGTTGAAACTAACTGATGTCTGGTCTACATTGTTTTATCATACATAATAATGCATATTGATTATAATTCAAGGGATATAGTGAAGGGATAAATAGATTCTCTAACTCACAAAAGGTGTCACTGATCATAGCTGATTACTACATTAGCCAGAAAAAACTTAAGGAACCGTTACGTTGAGGCCTAGATTTAATATTAAATCTAAAATGATGTAAAACTAGCATCAAAACTGAGATTTGGGATAAAAAGTAAAGATTAATTCAGTTTTTGATAATGGAACTACCATTATTGTTGTTCAGGGACAAACTGTCGTAGGGGACGAATTGTCTTATGGAACTAATAGTCAAACTTTTGTAGAATTCGCGTCCAACAGGAATATGAAAACAATGGATTGAGGAATCAAAAGTCATCATTATCTGACCAGCTTGTAACCGATTACTATATATATATATATATAGCCTATCGGATTTAGAAGAATGGTTGGCACAACAGTGTTTTAGGGGCATTATTCTCACGAGTGAGGCCACATCATTACTTTAGACACGGATTTTTAGATCAGGAACTAGACCCCTAATATTACTCATCTTGTTCTTCTTCTTCTTCTTCTCCTTGGGGACGATGCTCTTCATAAAGGGGGGTTGGATGGCCAAATGGTTAGCACATGCGTGGTGTATCATATGGTCTGTCATTGAGTCAACTGGCGTGGTTTCGAATCCCAGGTTGTACGTGACAAGGAGTAGGGTCGTCTGTCCAACCTCGTGGGTTTTCTCCGGGTCCTCTGGTTTCCTCCCACTGCTAAAGACCCATACGCGCAAGCGAATTATTGAAATAAAATTAAACCATATGTTAGTCCTGAAATGACCTAGTTTGTGTCGAGTGGATGTTAAACCCCATTTCTCTCTCTCTCTCTCTCTCTCTCTCTATCGCTCTTCATAAAAATCCCCAAGGTTCTGCCAATTTAAGTACGATTTACGTGAAACTCTGGCCTCTGCATACTTGTTCCTTGGACAATTTCACATCGATTGACGGACTTCTATTTATTTTATATGGCGGCAATATTCCAAGGTGGCTGCGATAATGTCATATTCGGTTCCTGGTCGATAGCATGTTTGTACTTGTTTGTATAATTATGGATGAAAATTATAAATGATAAATGTTTGTGTATGAAGATAAATATTTAAATACAGACCTCTTTTTCGTCAGGTCAAATACTAAGCAAAGGTGAAGTTCGACTTCCATTCTCAGCATTACTACCCAGTTCTATACCATCTTCGTTTGAAGGTTCAGATGGCTGTATTCGATACTATTGTCAGGTCACAGTTTCAACACCTGAAGATTCAGATGCGACAGAGGGAAGAAATTTTACAGTTATTCACAATGTTGACTTGAACAGTATACCTAACGCAAAGGTAGTAACATGTTTTAATTGTGTTTCATGGCAATGACCCGAGAGCTGTTTCAGAAAGAACAAATTGGTAATGGACGTAAATCTGGAGAGAGAGAGAAAGAGAGAGAGAGAGAGAGAGGGGGGAGGGAGGGAGGTTCGATTTGCGGAAAAGTTCCCTGGGATTTTCCAACATGGGTCCAACATGTCAGAAGTACAGAGTGGAGGGTCTGGAAAGTCGGTTGAAGGGGTTGCTCTGTACATAAAAAAAAACTGATAGTTTAAATTTGATGAATAATTCACTATGGTCAATTATTTTTCTTAATTACAGGTACCTATTGTAGCCAAACAGACAGATATTATTCCAGGAATATGTTGTACTTCACCAGGTTTATATAAAGTTAATTTCCAACTCGAGAAAACAGGTTTTGTACCTGGTGAACAGATTAAATTTCAATTGGATGTTGATAATAGAACTTCTCTTAGAAGTGAATGGGTAACTCTTACTCTTCGACAGGTAGGTGTTTTGTTGCAACCTCGTTTCTGCTTCCAAACTGTATTAGTTAGAACTTATTATCCATGAATAATGGAAAGGAGAAAATAAAACTGGGATTTTGTGTTTTTACCAATTTTAAGGTGACTTTTGATAAACACGAACATTTCTATTTTGTGTTTTTACCAATTTCAACCCATTAAGTGTAAATAATTTAATTAAATCAACTTGTCCATAATATCATATTAATGTATTGGACGTTAAATCTTTAAAAAACAACAACAACAAGCTCTTATATTTGTTGGGATGAGTTGTTTTATATCACGACCCATGTTTTAAAGTTGGTATGAGCTGTCTTCTAACTTGGGATGAGTTGTCTTATATTGGGATGAATTGTCTTTGGATAAGTTGTCTTTCGGATGAGTTGTCTGTATACCCTTAGTGTTTGCCAAAACTAAAGAATGATTTCATCCATGTCAAACTTTTTTTCTTTCAGATAATTAAATACAAATGTTTTTTGAATGGAAGAGTAACGGTCGCAGAAAACACTCTGACACAAACTAAAACAAATAATATCGAACTGTACAATAAACAAATCATAATACCTTCAAGACAGAAAAAACATTTAGAGGCATCTGCCCGTCTGCCTTCACTACCTCCGTCTAAACTACCAGGATGTGATATTATAGATATCAGTTATAATATTGTGGTTAGTAGAAATAAAAGTATACAAGACGCTTGATCAATGGGAAGGGGCAGTTGGATGGTCGAATGGTTAGCGTGTGCGTGTTGTATAGTAAGGTCTGTCATTGAGTCAACTGGCATGGTTTCGATTCCCCGGTTGTACGTCACAAGAAGTTGGTTCACCTGTTCAACCTTGTGGGTTTTCTCTGGGTCCTCCTGTTTCTTCCCACAGCTAAAGACCCCTTTGCGCAAGCAAATTGGTGAATATGGCACTCACTCACTAAACAGGAAGTTATCTGAGGAAGTTATCTGAGGAAGTTCCATCTTGATTTCTCATAGTCAGTAGTGCAGGACAGACGGCAGGCTTGGCAGTATAATGTTAATAGAACCCGTAATGGGAATTGAATAAGATTTCCTATACATAGCTTGCAAGATATCAAGTTATCTGAGGAAGTTCCATCTTGATTTCTCATAGTCAGTAGTGCAGGACAGACGGCAGGCTTGGCAGTATAATGTTAATAGAACCCGTAATGGGAATTGAATAAGATTTCCTATACATAGCTTGCAAGATATCATGTTTTTAGCAACAAATATATTCTTCTCATCAGTATGAATATATTTTTCAATCGATGGTTATGTATTTAAACTCTCGACTGTTCATGCTTCATATTTCCTAATAAACTATTTCTTATATTCTTTGAATGGCATTTAGTAATTGGAACATAATCAAAAAACACTTTTATTGCAATGAAATGAAATGGGGTTTAACGTCCTGCTCTGAACTGGGCTTATGAAGGCGGGCATACGCCATACAGTATGCTACAAGGGAAATTTTGCCCAGACAGCGGCACTACAGCCTACTCTTATATCGAATTCCAACTGTCAAGGGATCTTTTACGTGCACTTCAATGTGTACATCGGTTTTTCGTCACATCTGAACGACAACACAACTGTCCTTGTCAGGCCCTCCATCCTGCATCACTGACAAGGGGAAACTACGCCGGAAAATCTGGATGAACTTTCTCGGCCAATGCAGGCATCGAACACCTGACCTCCAGGCTAGCAAGCCAGCGTCTAACCCACTTTGCCACCGTGATCCTCCACTTTTATGGAATAACAATTACTATGGTTTATTTCACTACAACGTTTCAACAAGATTTCACATGTGGTTATTAAGCATATACTTGATAACGACTGGTGAAATCTTGTTGAAATGTTGCAGTGAAATAAACCATAGTAATTGTTATTCCATAAAAGTGTGTTATTTGAAATTATCTCTTACTTCAGTTAAAAATAAGTATTCAGATTGAAGAGATGAATATAGAAAGACAGATTTTGATTGGAACAATACCAGTTAGAGATGATGCCTGCTCATCAACATCACAACATACATTAAGACCAGATACAGGTCAGTATATGTAGATTACAGATAGACAAGACAGATTCTCAAGTATTTTGGGGAGTTGAAATGGCCTAGTGGTCTAGGGTGTCACGCTTCAACCTATAGCTGACCAGTCATCTCTGGCTGGCAGCTGTGGTATCGATCCCTGGTGGGTTAACTGCAGGTACTCTGGTTTCCTCCCATAGGAAAGAGACCTGCATATGCGCTGAATAGACTTAAATAAAACAACTTGTCTACATATCCCACGTGCAAGCAGACGTTAAGCTCTTCGAACAACAACCTGGAATATTTTGCACTGGCTAGCAGCAAAGTGCATAGATGTTAGGTTTTATTTATGAATACAAAATTTTCAAGCACATTCTCTCTTTGGTAATCAGAGCTTCTTCTCCCTTCATTAATAAAGCCATATCTTCATGTGTTTTTCAGCTCCTCCTAGCTATGAAGAATGTGTCACTAAAGCCTTTCGTAAAGGTATGAAAGCCAAACAATCAACATGGAGACCAAGTTATCCATACTATGGCGGTGAAAGTACAGTTGCTACTTTACCTGGTGGTAACTGGGTATGAAGGCAATGCTGAGACAAGATCGGGATTCATTATTACCCTAATCATCACTCTCGTTCTCTTCTTCTCTTCCAGTGGACCTTATAAAAGATCAGGACTCATTATTACCACTTGTATTCTCTTCTTGTGGAGCTGTTACAAGATCGGGACTCATTATTACAATGTGGTGCTACCAAGGGATAATGTCCACTCGACACAAACTAGGTCATTTCGGGACTAACATATGGTTCAATTTAATTTCAATAATTTGCTTGCAGTGAGGGGAAACCGGAGAACCTAGATAATCGACCCTACTCCTTGCCACCGTGGCAATACCACATACAAGTGGGGAATCGAAGCCATGCCACTTGACTCCATGACAGACCTTATCATACAATGCGCACGCATTAACTATTTGGACGATGCTGGCTGGAAACCACAGGGTTATTCTAGACATAATTAAATATACTTTAATTCAGATGTTTTAAAACATAAATAACATCTGCTATATGTACATTGTTTTATATTATTAAAACAAGGCCTGATTTTACAAGTGATTTTAATAAATAATGCTTACTTTTACTAACAATTTTAGTAATCTATTTATGACATAATTGTTTTATAAGTATATACATGTACTTATTTGATAAATAAATGTTGTGTTAGTATTATTTTTTAAGGTAAATTGTATTGTTTGTCACTTCATTGAATGGCCCAAAGCAAAGCAAAAACCACTGCACTCTCAAACTTGTCATTAAACTACGGAAATTGATCACATAACTACAGTGTTGAACAGACCTTCAATTTGATTCTTATCCTTTCCTTTCCCTGATATATTGCTCTATTTATTATCATCCATTATAAATTTATACTTTGTTTATCCCTTATTTTATAACATGCTTAATTTTATGTTCATTCATCCATCAATACCACTTTTTGATAAATCAGACTCCAGGAAAGTTACATATTGTGTTACTACTGAATTTCCTGTGTCCACCATAAGGATAGGTTAGGAATGGAGTCTCGTCTCGACATTTTCCACAAATACTTTGGTCATTTTGAGACTAACATAGTTTGTTTTTTTTTGTAATGGAAGGAGAATTTACCTAGACTGTGGCATTTCCACCTATTCTTCATTGAATTCTAACTGTCAGTGGTTATTTAATGTGCTATCCAGGGTGAACATTGGTAGACCTTCGTTTTTTATCCCATCCGAACAACTTGGCAACACATTCCTTGTCAGCACTGTCGGTGCTAGGCTTGACAAGTGGGAACAGGGTTTCCACCATTAGCCATGTGCTATCCATGGTGAACACTGGTAGATCCCTGTTTTCCATCCCATCCAAACGACTGGCTGGCAACACATTCCTTGGCACTACCCCTGACAAGTGGCTATGGTCCGCCATTACCCACGCTTTTTTTTCGCTGATTTTGATGGTTGTTCATAGGCCTTGATAATATTAAAATAATATGGCAGCTTGAAATCACGAGGAGAAACAAAATAAGGTTTATTTTTGATTTCAACATTTCCTATCTTCATCCTCATCAAACCTTTTGTGCAGTCTTTGGAAGTAAATTCTATTTTTTTAGTTGTTGGTAGAATCGCTATGAATTGATCACTGTCAGGTTTATAGTAAATCCTTAATATAGTACGTCTGACTATCATATTTACTAGTACTAACATACACACACAGAATATAGACCCCAATATATGTTGTAATATTTCATTTTGCAGCAATGTATCGAAACTCTCAAAGTTAGTCACAATAAAATACACATCAGCTATAATTATTGGTAATGTTCCAAGAATAAGAAAATATTGACCGAAGTGTGGGTTTCTCTTTAAGACACTTTCCATTATTAGTACGTAACTTCTGTCCACTTTATCTACTGAATACTTTGGTATAAATTTCTTGGGAACTTTCGTTGCAAATCTTCGAAGCGGTAGCACGTGCTTTGATGTCTTCAATATCCCGGACTCGTAAATCTACAAAATGTAAAAAAGATATGATCAGGTTTACTAGACGAACGGTTAATATCATGACTGTAAACTGTAATAAAAAACTATCATTTTTCTTTCCTTGCAACCATTCCTGTGATTCGATCTGTCAATCTAGACATGAACATTTTCACACATGCTGTGACTATAACACACCAGTCAGTTAAAGTTTTGGGAGGTATATGTAAGAATCTACCTTTTCCCAAGTAGAGATCCCGATAAAAAAAATTGCTATTGCATATTTTTTTATTTGTCAGTAATGAAAACATTTACAACACATAAAAATCTTATTATGAGTAACAACCCATTAAGTAATTATCAGGAATCATTAGAATTTATTTTGATTGTTCGTCTCATGACCCTAAACACTGTATAAATTTACATGTATATTAGCTTTAGCCTTTAGGGCGTCCACAAGATTTTTCAAAGAGATCAAGGGCCATAACTCTGGCAGTAATATCGTTGAAAGTCAATAGGCATCTTCGTCTCATGACATAAAACACTGTGTATAAATTTAAAGTCAATCGGATATTAACTTTAGCCTCTAGAGCATCTGCAAGACATTTCAAAGTGATCAAGGGCCATAACTCTGACAGTAATTATCGGACTTCGTCTCATGACCTTAAACACTGTGTATAAATTTAAATTCAATTGGATATTAACTTCTGCCTCCAATTGTGGACGCCGGACGGACAGGGATAACTACAATACACAACCACATTTCAATGTGGGCGTATAAAAAGGGTAAGCATACCATGTGTTGTGTATGACATATGTCATCAGTAATTATAGTATTAGCTAATTCGAATGATGGTTTTGGTTTGGACTTAGATTTCAGAAGCCAATGCAACTTGATGGAAGGCAACAATTATGGCAGCCCAAACTACAGTCGTGTAGTTATTTATCCCAACTTACAGTAACATGCAGTACCATCAATCTTTTCATAATATAATTTTCTGTTTCTACCTTCATTAAAACAGGATATTTAGCTAGTGTAGAATGTTCAATTCTTGAAAGAAATCTGTGATAAGGCACTGCCCTACTTATTTTCATTGCAGCTAACATATTTAATCTTGTTATATCGACAATGCCATCTTATAAATCCTGAAAAATATAAAATGAAATGGGGGTTAACTTCTGACTGAGCGAATGAAGACAGGCATATTCCATACAGGGGTGCTATATGGAAAATTTTGCCCGGGCAGTGGCGCTACGGCCTACGGTCATATAAAAAAGTAACATTATTGTGTCGAAATTCCCACTCAAAATGCGATTTCCATGCAAGTGTGGAAATTTTAGCCAAGGGACATAACTCGTGTATTGCATTTCATGGGACATTTTAAAAACAAAAATTTGAAAATTGTTACGATTTTAAATCAAAATGCTGCATTGCATAAAGAACAGTAAATATAAATATACATTATTATTATATTATACATAATTATTATTGGGGAACCAGCGCCTTACGCACTTAATAAGAGCCGAAAATATCATCATTCATAAAATTTCATTGGAAGCAATTTGCCAGTTGTAGGGTGACCCATGTACTCTACAGAAATACAGTCCACCGCTGATAGTTCGAGACTACCACTGAAGCGTGCACATTCGCCGTGCCGAGACCAACTTTCTGACAGTATGATACTATAAATAGCCATGGCACGTGATATTCTCTACAAATCTATCAACTATTACAGCCGTAAAAAAATTATTGTTGACGATTTTGAATAGCAGTGAAATTAAGCTTCTTGGTTATTACAGCAGATTTAGAAATTACATGCGTTTCATTTTTTAAATCGCTTTATCATTAACTGTCCCGTTAAGAGCGGCATCTTTTGGTTTAGTACAAATAATATCTCTGAATCACTCGGGTTAGACAGGAACATGATACTACCAGTAGTTTCATTTTACTTTTACAAGGTTCTTAAAACGATTGTTGAGCTACCTAACGTGCTTTTTTCTAAATCCAATTTCTTGTTCTAGCTTTCTGTTATGTTTCGTAAAAAAGTAGTCTTGATTATCTCGACCTGTCAATCAGACGTAGAATGGTCGATAGGCTGGTTAAGCGAGACTAATTTCAAAACAAGGGCACGTAACCTATCTTTTACTTAAAAGTGTCTGGATGTTATGGACGACACTTGGAACCAGTTTTCAGTCTATTATTTATAGATGATTAATGGTCATCATACTAATCATAGCTTATTAAGCAAAACATGATCGTTTATTTAGTAGTGACTATAATTGTGTGAAACTGATTTGAGGCTTGGCATATATATAAATATTGTGGCGTAATTGTCGAGATATATGGAGATATATGGAGATATTTATTTATGGTGGGTCACCCTACCAGTTGGCAAGGTCAAACTGCCGAATTACTTCAATTACTTTTAGGCTAGTAACGTTATGATTATCGGCTCTGCTCTCTTAGTCTCTATCAATCATAGCCGATGAATCCGTTACTAAATTAACTACCGAAGAATGTGAGTTCGTGTTGACTCTGTCCTCAGTAACTCTACTCTGACATCGTTAGGTCAATGACTGAACAGTTGACACAGTTTAAAAGTCATATTACGATACCATTAATAAAAAAAGAAATGTCATCTAAAATGTTCTAACTTACATTTTACATGTGAGCCGATATAACGGAAGTTGATATGTATGCCTACGCCACCTAGAGGTGACAACCTGTACTAATCTAATGCGGAAACGAGAAGAATGAGAGAAAGGAGGTGAAATGTCAGTCTAATTGACTGGATATCTTGATTAAATACGTCTGGTTAGCTGATATTTAAACAATAAGACATATGGAGGTGCGAAATGTAGCCCTCTAAGTTTTCAAATGTGAACTTTGTAGGGCTCTTAGCTCCAGAAAAGTTAAAGTTTTCATGACAAGTCGAAGTAACATGGCTCAACCAGGAAGAGATCGCGTTCTGCCAACTACTGCCAGAACATCTCGCAGTGAAAACATTAAAAAGGTTGCTATAACTATGAAAGGAGTACAAGCTCAACTTTTAGAATTAGATCAGGTAGGCCTAATTTAATGATGTACTTAATTTTCACATTAAACATACAAATTAAACAGGACCAGCCCTAAAAATGGCTGTAGTAGGCTAGTAGTATGCAGTAGACCTATATCATGAGTCAGTCATCAGTCTATTTTAATTTCCACTTTGAATTGTCTTTCATTTATTTCAGAATCGACCACTGGCTGCTATAATCCAAGATGTTTGTCATGCGTAAGTGACTCTTCAATTGAAATATTTTGCCGTTTTTATGTTCATGTAGGCCTATGTATTAATATTATAAAGTCAAAGTCTCTTGTATTCATAATTCATGAATTGTAACAAATACATGTAAATTTTGTCCACATCTACAGTAACTGCATAATGTGAATTACTGCTTGGTTTCTTACCGATAAAGAGCACAGCTCACCATCAACTACTGTAAATTGTATCTTCATAGTTCATGTAGGGCTATTTGCTTAATCAGTGTAGCTGTCTGCATTTTTGATACCATAAATTTGGACATTTGAATAAAAGAACAGGTTTACATGAGCCCAGGCTCAAGCGCTGAAATAAGCGTCCGGACACGGACAATGTCCGGGCGAATTGACCCCTTTTGACAGGCCAAATTGCCTTTCGTCCGGACATAATTGTCCGACCGTGTTTTTGTAATAAAACATTATGTCAAAAATATTTGAGTCGATCGCTATTTATTATTAGACTCGAAAGTCCAGAACCAAAAATATCAATGACCCGAGTCATAGTGAAAATGTTACTATTTATATCTCGGCCGCGTGCAGATAAAATCTTCAATAATTTTTAGAATCGACTCTTTTACGCTGGTTATATCAACGACCCGAGTCATAGTAAAAATATTACTATTTATACATGTATCTCTCTCGGCCACGTGAAGAAAAAATAATGAATAATATTGAGAATCGGCTCTTTTACACTGGTTATTCGAGTCTCGTAGCTAGCTTTGCGTTACTTTCGTATATGATTAGCTCTAAATCACACCTAACATGACATGTAATTATATAAATTATTAGTTATAAAAGTAATAATATTTTAAAATTAGTTTACAAGAAAATGTCCAAGTTGACTATGGATGTAATTAGGGACAGATTTTTTATACGAAAATATCTCACTTTGTTGGACACTTCCAATGTGAATGTAAATAGAAGAGCCGTGAAAACATGTCGAATAAAATAACTTCTTACTTTTCCCAACCCTCGGACACGGATATCCCGGCTAGTGGGACCGTTCCAGAAAATTCAAAGACTGGTACTGTGTCTTAATCTTATGTCTCTCATAAAGACACTTCTAAACGGGGGGCGTCGCCGTCACCAGTTGGAAAATTACAAAAACGAGCCGTAGAACTAGAAAAGTGGATCAAAAATGACTTGGCAGATTCTGAACCATTTACGACAACTCAAGATGTCTATTCTTTAGTTAAATTTGAATCTTAATCAGAGTTTTTAGGATTTAGTCCCCAGCCCAACCAAAGAGATTAATGACATTATTATATGAACTATAAAGTTGTATTCCATATACATATAAAAACTTAAAACTCCAGGTTGTATGTGAGTCATCAATTTATTTTATTAATAAATGTATGTATAATAATATATATAAACATAGTAAATTTCAACAGTTTTTTGGTTTAATATACTTTATAAAGTATTTGTCAGGCTGAAAATCTGAAATGTCCGGCCGAAAATCAGTTCAGGCTTGCCCAGGCTACTGTATTTGATAAGAAGTAGAAAGTTCATAATTTTTTTTTTGTCCATTTTTTTTAGTTGGAATCTTGGAGATCCAGACACATATGCACTTCAGTTTAGTGAACCAAACAGACAGAAATATATTACAGAAAGGGTATGTACACAGAATGATCTGTAGTTCAGATTTTTAATATTTATGTTTCTTGCCACAAGTGTGATAACATACTACGGCTGTTGGGACTAGACTTGACAGTCTGCCCCTTAGATGGGACAAATGGGCACTGTTTCATAAGGTCTGTCATTGGGTCAGCTGGTGTGGTTTCGATTCCCCAGTTGTACTTGACAAGGAGTAGGGTCGCCTGTCCAACCTCGTGAGTTTTCTCTGGGTTCTCCGGTTTCCTCCCACCGCTAAAGACCCCTACACGCAAGCGAATTATTGAAATAAAATTGAACCATATGTTAGTCCCGAAATGACCTAGTTTGTGTCAAGTGGGCGTTAAACCCTATTTCTCTCTCTCTCTATTTCTCTCTCTCTCTCATATAGGATATCACCTGACTTAAACAGATAATTTCATATTTTCTAAGAAAGTGAAAACATAATTATTTCTATATTGTTTGCTCAATAGGTTGTCAACTCACTATTATACGATCATAGGTATTTTTCTCCCTCTTAAAAGTCCTTTAACCCCTGAAATAATAACACAATTACCTCCCTTGTTTTTCTATTCCCCCCCATGGAATAGCTATCTTCAAACGTTTGAATTTAAAGTTGAAAATGATATTTTTGCGAATTTCTCAACTGGCAATAGTGAATTATAGGATTAATAGGATTATTCTTTAACAAGGTAGAACTGTTTATAGGAACCATCTATTTTAAGGCTTTATTTTAATAAGTTTTAAAAATATAACTTAAAAATATGAAATTGCAGCTTAAACATATACGGAAACGTGGCTGAGATCAACGTGGCACACTATAAGCCAGCACACTATAAGATATTTACATTGTCAGTGGAAGCGGGCGTTAAATAAAGCTATCTCACACACCACAAGATACTGAGGCAATCAACATGGTAAACTATAAGAAATTTACTAGATAATCGTGTCTGCAATAAAATCATGTGATTGGTATGGCTAATCCGAGCCTTTGACAAATAACATAAATTGACAGTATAGTCTATATTTAGCAATTAGGTTACTGTCGGAGAGCGACCCATTTCTTTCGCCAAAACAAGGAAAATTTTTCTTTCTCTAAAGTATGTAAATATGAATGTGCCAGAAAATAACTGATCGATTCAAAGAACAATGGAGACATACTTTCCAATGATGTATAACACAATAACTGGAATTTCGTATTAAGACCCGTATTTTGACATTTTAAACCCTCGCCACCACCCCCACACCCTCATTAAAAATTTTAGTGCAGGCTAATTAACTTTAATCTATTTTTTAAAAAATATGTAATCATTGTGCCCAACAAATAATGAATATACATGTAAGCTACTTAAAGAGAGGAAAGAGTATACATGAACGTGCTTTTTACTGATATGTAACATGATATCGTGAATATCGCATTATGACCCGTATTTTGACATTGCATACCCTCACCCTCTCCAGAATCATGATAATATAGTTTGGTACCATCCAAATTTGATCGTTTTTTCAAGATAAGTAAATTTCTTACAGTGTACCAGGTTGATTCCCCCTTATCGTGTGCTGGCTTATAGTGTGCCAGGTTGATCTCGGCCTCGTTTCCGTATATGTTAATAAGTCACATGATATCCTAAATTTGCATATCATATATAGTTAATGCTCTGCGTAAGATGCTATGTAGAAAGCGTGAAGGTCAAATGAGATGCAACAGAACGCAAATGTAAAATGTACTGAGGGAAATGTAAAATGTAGACACACCAAAAAACAGCCTTTTTCCAATCAAACATTTGTCATTTGACGTTTTACATTTAACTTTGGCCTTAGAGGTATTTTCACTTCATCATTACCGGTTTTAGGGCTTTGTACATTGTACTTTTTACATAATAATCAATGGAAAAGACATTTTAGCAGAGCATTTAATATTGGCAGCGATATCCTTCCATAATATATAATATACAATGTTATAATTAACAGAATACAAACAAGTGGTTGCCATGCAAGATACAAGTTGTCAGGTTCAACTAAAACAATTATTTCCACACCTGTGTTTGTATCATCATTACTTTTAAAAGATTTTGTTTTTAATTTTTCAGAGTCGTTCTGAAATACAAAATGGAAATGTATTACAGCTCAAGGAATCCCCGGTAACTATGACTTCATTACAAACACAATCTGATTTAAACACAGATCCTGTTTCGTTTCTTATAGTTGATGCCATCATATTTAGAATGGTTCATCCATATTTTGATTAAATTTAAAAATGGTGAAGCGAGGCTAAGCTTTGAACAACCATTGCGGTGGTTGCAATTAATGCACGCATCTGGTCAAACCCTCAAAAGCTAATATCTTTGCTCGTAATGGAGCAATTTGAGTGAAATTTTAAATAAATTCATTGTGCATTATTTATATTCGAACTACATGTATTATAGTAAGAATGGCCAGCTCTTTATCTAAATCTTACATAATGTATCTTTAACTTTTAACTAACATTCAAAATTTAAATCTAGAAAATTCCATCAAATAGAAATCTTCTACCGACCTTATTTGAAAGAGAATAAATTTAATGAAGGTATCAGAAACATAAGTGAAATGAAATGGAGTTTAACGTCCTACTGTTCTGCTCCTAACCTGGGCTAATGAAGACGGGCATACGCCATACAGTGTGCTATGAGGGAAATTTTGCTCGGGCAGCGGCACTACGGCCTACTCTTATATCGAATTCCAACTGCCAAGGGATCTTTTACATGCACGCCAATGTGTACACGGGACCTCAGTTTTCCGTCCCATCCGAACGACTAGACAGCTTTCCTTGTCAGCCCCTCCATCCTGCATCACTGACAAGGGAGAACCACGCCGGAAAATCTGGATGAACTTTCTCGGCCAATGCAGGGATCGAACACCCGACCTCCAGCCTAGCGAGCTAGCGTCTTACCCACTTAGCCAAATGATCCCCCAGAAACATAAGAGAAGAAGTATAATTACATAAACACAAAAACATAATGTCAAATTCTCAAAGATGGTGGCTATGTTTTGTCAAACACAAAATGCTCAGGTCGAAATTTTGAATATAAAACATTTTAACACTATCCCATTTTGTATATGTATAATTATTATAACCGTGCTGGTTATAGTAGTTCTATTTAAATCTAGAATATTTCAGATAGAACTTTAATTTTAAAAATGAAAGTCATCAAATTGAATTCTGTATACATGTAAACTCTAAGGACAATAATTATTCTATTTCTTCAAAACATTGTGTGTGTTTGCTATTGAAAGGAGACTATAGCTAAGGGTGAAAAGTTACGTAATTCAAATGACATGTTAATTTATTATAATCCCTTATTGTTTATAAAACTATTATAGATAGAAAGTAACTGACAATATGGCCTGTCTGGTGAACATGCCAATCATATGATTAATCTATTAATTGTTTTATTTACCATTGTTTTATTTCTTATATTGTACATTATTACATCAATGCTTATTTATGTCAACACTTGATCACGACAAGTGGTTAGAAGTGATTCCATATAAATATGTGATTGTACTTGATACTTCAATAATTTGGGTCTATCCAACTTAGTAACATTAGGTACTAGTTGGTTATCCACGGTCCTGTAAGTGTATGTAGATAATTGTTATTATAAGTTTCCAGTATTAAAGATTTGAAGAACCATTCTAGACTCTTTTAATATCTGACCGACCCTTTACGGTCACAATTTTGACCGAGCTTTGTTTTATGGAACTCCTTTCTTAAAAAACACAATTATAATTAAGAGCATAATATTTGAAGAAATAGAATAATTATTGTCCTTAGAGTTTACATGTATACAGAATTCAATTTGATGACTTTCATTTTTAAAATTGAAAGTATTATCTGAAATATTCTAGATTTTAATAGAACTACTATAAACCAGCACGGTTATGTTATGTTGTTACTCATAAAAACAGAAAAAATTAATTGTTAAGGGGAGGCACTACTCAACTATATGCATTTTAAATATAACTCACTTCATATAGTGCTATCAACTATTAAAAGTGAGTTATTTTGAAATGTATATTGGAGAGTAGTGCCTCCCCTTAAAAGGTTAAACCCTTTCAATATCTAATTTTATGGCGTGTAACACTGTCTGTCAGGTAAGTTCTCTTACTGGTCAATTTTATGGTCATTCAGTCAGGACTACCAAACATGAGAGACTTGGTTTCAGATATTTTCGAAAGAGTAAATGTCGTCTGACTACAAAGTTCAAAACTTGTCTGCTCTTATTATTCAACAAATTCTCATTTCAGGCCAAAACAGCTGAAAATTTATATAAGTTAATAGATCAACAGACAGGCTCAGCTGAAGAGAGAATACGAGGGTTAACAGAACTCTCTAAACTTTCTGCTGATGCAACGTTTGCTACAGAATTTATAGCTATAAAAGGATCAAATTTATTAATAAACATAGTTAAATCAGGAAAATAGTAAGTTGTTAGTTTCATAGTTAGTAACTTCTTTCTTTCAATATTAAATCCACAGTGAAAGAAAAACTAATCTTATTCAGATAAGCCAGAGTCACTTGCAGTTTTTTCTCTAAGTGAGTAAGACACAGACTCGCTAGCCTAGAGGTCATGTGTTCAATCCCTGCATTTTTCGAGAAAGTTCATCGTGATTTTCCGACAAGGGTTCTAATGGGACGGAAAACTGAGGTCACGTGTACATTGGCATGCACGTAAAAGATCCCTTGGCAGTTTGAATTTGACATAAGAGTAGGCCATAGTGCTGCTGCCCGGGCAAAATTTCCCTCATAGCACACTGTATATATATGGTGTATGCCCGTCTTCAATTCATTAGCCCAGTCGAAGCAGAACACCCATTTCATTTCATTTTTGTTGTCATCAGGCCGGGAAATAATAATTTTAGCTGTATCTGACAATGTTAATAATTTTTGTACTTTGTGGCAGAAATGTATTATTAATATGAACAAAAGCAGGGATAAAAGACCAATCTTTGGTGTCTGGCATTGTCTGTGACCGGTGCCTTATTTCCAGACTTGATTGTCATGTTAGCCATTTAGTTCTAATTTGTTTATAAATTAAGATTGTACTTATGTATTGCTATTGTGACGCAAGAATGAAATCATGAATGGCAATATTGATATCATCAATCACAATACTGAGTAAATTGTTTGTATTTTCAGTAAAGGGGAACCACTCTCCTACACATTAAAGTCATTTGTTGCTTTGATGGATCATAGTATAATATCTTGGGATGTATTAGATGCTGAATTTATTAAAAAGGTATGGAACTTGTTATTTCTATTCTGAATATTTTATCAATGTTAACTACATGGTTTTTTTTTAACTGTATGGAAATAAAAAAAAAAGTACTGGTAGCGATATTTATTAAAGCCCCTGATTGTCTGCAATATCACCTTGGTCGAAGCAGATGTTAAATAAAGCCCTTTCACACTCATGTCATTTTAAGGATTTTGGGTGTTGGATAAAATCTTTTGAAGTACATCGGTTTTATCTAATTGAATCTTGCCCGGGAGATATCTACTATTTTTATTTTAATATTTTTTTTCTAAGTTAAATATCAGCGATTTTAATCATTTTGATTTATTATATTTTGTAGGTAGCTGAATGTGTAAATTATAAATCAAGCCAGGATAATTCCTGTTTACAATCAGCATTAGTAATACTTGAGTTAGTTGTATTAAACAGGTATGACTAATATATTCAAACTGGGGAGGTTCGGTGGCCCCCATATTATCGCTTAGTGCAGACATGGTGGTCATTGTGTAATCCATTCGCGGGTTGGGTGGTCTAGTGGTTTTATAATGCATGCGCGTGAAACCATAATGTTTGTCATTGAGTCTAAATGGTGTGGCTTAGATTCCTGCGTGTACGTGACTGACAAGTCCTTATGGTTTCCTCCCACTGCGAAAGACCCCTACGCGCAAGCGATTTATAGAAATAAAGATGAACCATATGTTAGTCCTGAAATGACCTAGTTTTTGTCAAGTGGTTGTTAACCTCCCCCTCTCTCTCTCTCTCTCTCTCTCTTTCTCTATTTCTTTCTCTATCTCTCTCTCTATCTCTCTCATCCACTTACTATCTAACCCATTTGATAATTGATTTTGACCTTCTCGATAAGAGTAGGCGATAGTGCCGCTGCCCGGGCAAAATTTCCCTCATAGCACACTGTATGACGTATGCCCGTCTTCATTAGCCCAGTATAGGAGCAGAACAGTAGGACGTTAAACCCCATTTCATTTCATTTCATTTCACCTTCTCGAAATAATAATTGTGTTATTAGATGAACATATTGAAACAAAATATTTTTGTTTATTTCAGTACTGATAAATTACCTGTTGTAGAACAAGTTGTCACACCTACCATTATTACACCATATTTAGAAAAGTAAGTTACCAATTCATGATTTTATTATTGGCGTAATCTTAGACTAACAGTAGATCCATAGACAGAATCTGTGCCAGAATGGTCAGAACATACTACTAATAATAATTTGCTGATATCAATCTAGAGAAAAAAAATTTGATTTTTGTAACTAGTCTTTTAGCAGTATGATCCAGTAGAGAATTATCCAAATCAAAGCACAGCATTTTGTTTGCTTTATGTGACAGAACATTGATTTTTGTGACTGGTCTGTCATTGATTTGTTATTGAGTCTAGTGGTGTGGTTTTGATTCCTCACTTTTCTGTGACAAGGAATAAGGACATCTGTCCAACCTCTTGGGTTTTCTCCGGGTCGTCTGGTATCTCTCCACTGCTATTATACAGACCCCTACGAGCACGTATCTCTCCACTGCTATTATACAGACCCCTACGAGCATGTGATTGATTGAAATAAATTTGAACCATATGTTCGTCCCGAAATGACCTGATTTGTGTAGAGTGGATGTTAAACCCCATCTCTCTCTCTCTCTCTCTCTCTCGCAATGCTATAAAATATTCGATTCATTATATATTTGTAAAAACTGAACAGAATTGAATCATTTTTGGCATGATATTCCATTTAGAGATTCAACTTTTATAGTATTGTAGATTTCAAGGGATTCAAAATCTCTCAAATGATTATCGATATATTGAAATTGTTTTTATAATTACAGGCACGATTTGGATATTCAGAAAAGCGCACTTGCACTTATAAATGCTTTATTTATGAAAGCAGATCCAGAGAAAAAGAAGGTAGGTAGAAAAACCAAAAAAGGATTAACAATAATTTTAAGGAAAAATAATAATCTATTAGTTTTCTAGTTCTAAAACATAATACTTATGAGAAATACGGTAGATAATATAGAACAGTGAAATATGATCTTGGATGCTTCATAGGGATCTAATAAAAACAATTTTAGCATCCATAGGGGGCCTAATATATTGACTGACAGACTGTCACAGGCACCAATCTGTATGTTAAAACTGTTTAAACTGGGAAACTGTGTAAAAGATTGTTTTTAGACACTATGGGATACAAGATTGGACATTCCAGGCTTGATTTCTCTCAATCCCTTGAAACATGTCATTCGAGTAACCACAAGAATTTCGAACGAGAAGCCTTGCACAAACTGATTATCTCGGCCAATCATCATTGCTGAAATGGTTGATTACCTCAAGATATCTGGTAGAAATGTGACAAGACTCAATTTCGTCAATTCAGAATTTTTTGGACTGACAGTGGTCATTCTATCTGCTTTAATGAGACAGGATGAAAGGATTTACTTTGGTAAATTCACGTTTCGGAAATACACTTTATGATTACTAAAATTGAAAAGGGAAACTTTTTTACGTATATTTTTTAAGCCTAAAATTATTACTAAAATTGAAAAAGGAATTTTTTTTGTATATTTTTTAAGCCTAGAATTATTACTGAAATTAAAAAAGGGAAACTTTATCGTTTATTTTTTAAGCCTAACATTATTCTTAATGGTGTGTAACTAATTCTCTAATGTATGTATATTAACTTAATTTCTTTTTCTCTCTCTTTCTCTAGAAAATAGCTGAAAATCTTCAATCAAGAACTGTAAGGAATACAATACTTAGTGTGAGTATATTGAAATATGATATCAGTAGGCCGTACACAAAAAATTAGTCTGGTTCTCAAACAATCCTTTCAAATATTCTGGTGTGGGTGGGAGTGACACCGTCGTATCTGAGAACCAAAATATTTTTTATATGGCCTTTTAAAATATCAACAAATTGCTAAATCATTGATATGCATTACCATTAAGTCATGGGTCATGACTTTGATTGTCCATGACAAGTTGTGGCATCTCCTGACTCAATTTGGGGGGTTTAAATGATGAAATACCAATATAATACCTTAAACCACATTTCTCTTGTCTCTCTGATTTTTTAATTGTACCTTCCTTACCTTTTTATTTAGACTCTTTAAGGATAAGCAGTGTGATTGTGCGTGATTCTTATAAAAAGAAAAATGTGCAATGTATTTATTTTGGGATTGCAGCAGGGGCCATCAGCCTCACTGTTGGCTTGTTAATCCTAGCTGTTGGGGAAAAATCTGAATGATTGTAAAATAGGTTATAAATCTATTTATAGCAGGTTGTTGGTAGTACTGGTAATCAGATGGGACAAGAAATGGCTCATCAACTTTATCTTTTACAAGCTATGATGCTCAACTTACATGAAGATAAATATTTTACTGCTGTTGATCCACATAATCAGGTAATTATTCAACAGGTTATTGATTAACATGATCAGGTCATTACTCAACAATCATGCTCTTACTGACTATAATTAGGCTGTTAATTAACATAATCAGCTAATTACTTGACACAACTGTGTTATTACACAACATGATCAGCTAATTACTCAACATAACCATGCCATTACTTAACATGATCAGCTAATTACTTGACATAACTGTGTTATTACACATGATCAGCTAATTACTCAACATAACCATGTCATTGCTTAACATGATCAGCTAATTACTTGACATAACTGTGTTATTACACAACATGATCAGCTAATTACTCAACATAACCATGTTATTACTTAACATAATCAGCTAATTACTTGACATAAAATGTGTTATTACTATGGCTTCCACTTCAAAATTTTCCGAGCCGGTCATTTTTCATGCCGAGAAAGTGGTGCTATTTTTAGCACATAATAAGAAGCCACAAAACAACATGATATTGTAATGCTGATCGGGTTTAATTGGGTCAAGGACAGTCACAGAGAAATTTAATCTCACGTCGGCATTTATACCCACCCACCCCCGCAATAAAGGAACACATGTAATCAATTATCATTTATTTATTTATACATAAATGAAATATAGCAATAACAAGAAACATTCATTCACCCATATATTCTCGTCGGAACTCTAATGGAACTGTTGTGGTATAACATCTTTAAATAGTCGATCTTCGTGTTCAAGTGACGTTTTATGGTCACTGGAGGCAGTGTGCTCTACCAGAGCCGACTTTCTAAAATTCTGGGAACCAGTCACAAAACTATTCTTGGCAATATGTTTCTGACAACGATCTTTCAATTAACCAGTGCGTACGTGACAAGTTAGACTGTTGACTATTTCTCCATACACGGCGAAAAGTAGTTCCGAATGATTAACGCATTTAAATAATTCAAAGTCATAAAAATGTACAACAATTAACATACTTTTTAAACTTATAAATATATTAACTCGTATTAATATTTGGAGAGCTCAAACAATATCATTCTAGTATTTTCACTTGATAACGTTTAAAGATAATTGCACATGTATCAAAGTGGCGGGGAGTGTAAAAGTTCATTGTGTCAAGCAAAGTAATGTCAATCAGTTGTTACATAAAAGGATTAAAAACACACCCGACAATACATCTTTGTGTAGGAATATATCTTAACCACGGGAATGTTTGTTACGAGATTTTAAGACAGACTTTGTTTTTCGGAGCGGAAATGTCTTCCTCGTGGGCCGATGTTAAAGAAGGGAGGTCGGATTCATTGACGTCAATATTATGATCTCGCTTTCTTTTGTTATTCTGAGGGGTTTGGAATTTCAACATTTTGAAATGATGTAAAGCATGCTAACATTTCTGATACTGTATATATATCATTCCCATGATTAACTCTAGATATCAAGTGAAGACATCAAAGTAAAGTTTTTAATTTGTTTGATGTTGATATAGTAAATATGGCTGCACGAGCGATGAAAGTCGGCAAATATGCTGTAACAACAACTCTGTTTTAAGAATTATCACACAGTACTAATTAAAAAACAAAACTTAGCTAATGAAAGAGATTAAATGTTAAGCTTTTAATCTGTTTGATGTTAATCCTCCGTTGATGGTGATTAGAACAATATACACAAGGATAATTAATTGGCAGTGGTTTCCATTCGTGGACTACTAAACACTGTTAATTTTATTATACCTGACAGTTTACATCACGACATGCACAGAGTTTCTTTGTATCCTGTGATTTTATGATTTAGCTCAAAATATGCTATTTTTCCAGACTGCAAAATGACCTACGGGTCTGATCCAGTTTCAGTCATTTTCCAGAGCCCTCAGTCCCGACCAGCATATATGTCCGACATGGAATCCATGGTTATTACACGACATGATCAGCTAAATACTTGACATAACTGTGTTATTACACAACATGATCAGCTAATTACTCAACATAACCATGCCATTGCTTAACATGATCAGATAATTACCTAACATAAACCAAGTCATTACTTAATGTAATCAGATAATTACCCAACATAACCATGTCATCACTTAACATGATCAGATAATTACCCAACATAAACCATGTCATTACTTAATGTGATCAGATAATTACTCAACATAACCATGCTATTACTCACTATAATTAGGCTTTTACTTGACGTGACTGTGTTATCACTCGACATGATCAGGTAATTACTTAACATAACCATGCCTTTGCTCAACATGATCAGGTAATTACTCACTATAATTAGGCTGTTACTCAACATATGTGTCATTACTCAACATAATCAGGTCTTTACTCCACATGATCAGGTCAGTGTTCAATGATCAGGTCAGTGGACAAAATAATCAGCTCATTACTCAACATGATCCGATTATTGCTTGCATAATCAGGTTATTACTCAAAATAATCAGGTTGTCACTTGTCATAGTCATGTTCATTACTCAATATAAATATCCAGTTTGTTATTTTCCAGAAAGTTTTACAAGATATTGAAGAATTACGCAGGATAGCCTTCGACGTGGAAGGCGATCCCAATATAAATACTGTTCGCAAATCTCAAAGTCCTGCTCAAGATTACAGAAAACTTGGTTTTTATGTAAGTATATAAGATTGGAATAATATTGACTCATGTATTACACGGTGTACATTAGCGTAACTAACTTAGTTGGTTTGATACTGCTGTATAATATATAATTAACAACTAGCTGTTTAATTCATTGACCCCTAGGCCCTAAACCTAATAATTAAGTAACCACTCCTTTATCTTTATCTTTAATCGCTAAATTTTCAGCAAATTATCTACTTTTTAACTATTATAGTGAGAACTACCAGCTCTTTATCTAATCTCCCATAATGTATTTTTAAACAATATTTTATTTTGAATACAACATGAGTATATACAATACTGATATAATGGATTTAAAAACAAACCAAAGCCTATATAAATTCATATCCACGTAAATTATACATTTCAATACAATTACTAATATATTTTTATTATGTACAAATTTCAAAAGTTTATCTTAAATATTTACATTGACAAATAAATAAATAAATAAATGTCCTAAATATTATCACCAGGTCCTCCGGTTTCCTCCCACTCTAAAGACCCCTACGCGCAAGCGAATTATTGAAATAAAATTAAACCATATGTTAGTCCCGAATTGACCTAGTTTGTGTAGAGTGGACGTTAAACCCCATTTCTCTCTCTCTCCCCTAAATATTATTGTCCCTAATGAAATCTTTGTAGAAAGTTTTAGTTAAAAATGCTTATGGATGATTGAATATTTCAGAATGTATCGCATCCAGCGAGAGATTTTGCCACAACCCCACCTGGCTCACTAGCTCTACACAATATGCTATATTTTGCTAGAACACATGGAGAAAGTTATGTCAAGGTAAGGGATCTTAACAGTGGATTTGTAGTAGATTTTTGTGAATAAAGGGATTTATAAAATATTTTAAGTATTGTATCAAATATCTGCACTACGGGTTATTCTGGACATCTAACATGTTTCATAAGATATTATTGTATCAATACTCCTATTAAGAGAAGAATACACATTTAAAAAAAGAAAATGATCAACACGCCTGTACCGGAAGTACTTTAACTTAGAAAACTGTCAATCCTTGACACGATCTGCCCTTATAGCCCAAATGTCAGCCTCTGGGCAGCCTCTAGTGTAGTCGCCAACGTCAGACAAACAAGATATTCACAATTAAAAATCGCATTATGTAAGTCTTTCTTTGGGCTTTAATTTTATATAAACTATTAATTAGACATTTATTAACTAGTGTTGAAAATCGGACCGAGATCTGTGATCCGAATACTTTTGTTTGCTATCCGAATACTATTCGGATAATTGGGAAACGTGAAATTATTGAACAAAATCACATCAAAAGTTCATATACTCATAATTTCTTACTTATTTCAATGTTTATGAGTGTCTGTGTATGCCGAGCATGAAATCTTACTTTTAATTTGCAAATTGTTTGAGCCGCGAATAAAAAAAGGTGCCTACCTTTAGCCGCAGTTACTAAGACTATCCATGATATCCAAAAAAATCAATGAGGTGAATAAATTTGTGTATAACTACTCCTGTAATCCGCGGCCCTCCCACTTATCATTTTTGCTCAATCAACACGAATGAAAAAAGTAAAATAAAAACATCTAACATTTATTCCGCCAAGGTCGTTTGCCTCATTCTGGTAGCTTCTGCTATTGAACCAATCAGTAAGTGAGAATATACGTGACCTAGGTCGTTATGAATAAATTTCATTGCGGGAAGTCTAAACACAGTGTTAACTTGTATCCCGTAAACCCAAGAAGTAGCTTCTATCTAGCGTAAACCAGTGCAAGGAATTAATGAATATTTTTTTTATTTAGACTATTGTTTTCGTTGCACTGCATTAATATTTTTATTAGTTACTATCGCTAAATAATACGTGTGATATTAACATTTATGCTCAAAGCTGCGTACGTGATCAATAGCATTGGGGAAAATTTCAAAGTAATCAGATGTAAAAATGGCTAAAGATAGAGCATACGGAATGTCAGAAGACTGTAACGGATAGTAAAATGATTCGGATAACCCTTATTTTGTATCCGTTTACGGATATCCGAATAGTAGTTTCAACACTATTATTAACATGACAAGACCATAATCATCTCTTGATGCCATCAGATATCTCTGATTTTAAGTAGATTAGAACGGTTCGGCCATTTAATGATTTTTAAGTTTAAAAATAGAGGAGCAAGGTTAAGACTCGAAAGATCAGTACAGTGGTTACGATCAATGCACTACAACCATTGATAACTTCGCTCAAAATAAAGTAGTTTGAATTAATTTTTATACACCTACATTTTCATGTGGACGTATATTGTCGTCGCCCCTCTCCGCCCAGACATCTGTCCGTCCACAATTTGTTTGTGGACACTCTACAGGTCACAATTTTTCAAGATACCGGTATTCATTTTGCATTAGCTATTTTTGAAATATTATTGCAAGAACGACCAGCTCTTTATCTAAATCTTACATAATGCCTCTTTAATCTTTTTCTTCTTATTGAAAGGACCTTCATATGTAATTACAAGTTTTCTTCAAATACAAAAAATTATTTTCTGAGAGAACCCTGGTCAAAACATCACCTGAAATAAACTTCTGTAGTAACTTACTGTAATCCATTTAATTGTGTCATTCTTTCAGGTTGTTTTAGAAAATTCTAGCCGAGCAGATGAACATGATTGCCCCTTTGTTAAAGCTTCCATTACGTTAACCTTAAAGATTTGTGAAATTCTTCATATTGGAGATACACGTAAGATTTTATTCTTTTGTTTAATTAAAAGGGTAAATACAAGCCAGAGTAATTTGTCATACTAATTGTTGAAAGTGTTTATTAATTTAGAAATTCTCACAATGTAATCTCCAGTACTAGTAATATTCTTGCTTGAAAAATGCTTGTGGTGTTGTGTACTCTCAATAACTACACTTAATGAAAACACCACTGCCAAAGCAAAATTCTCCTATTACATGTATGTATTGCTGCAAAATAACCATATGTTGGTCTCAAAACAAACAACAAACTAAGTAATGTTTTGACCAGATTTTGCCAAAGCAAAATTCTTCTATTATGAATAGCTCCAAAATAACCATATGTTGGTCTCAAAATAAACTAAGTAATGTTTTAACCAGACTTTGCTGTGTTTTAAAGGGCTTGACAAGCCCCATTTTTATCACTTAATGTTTTCTATATTACATAATCTTTAAGTGGCATTTAGCGATTGGGAAAGACATTAACAGAACACGATTTCTATGGGAAAACAATCACAGATTTTATTCTATAAGCATGACATTTCAACAAGTATCCTCTTATCATACTTCTATATTACAGCTACTGAAGAAGGGAATAGATTTTATCCTATGTTCTTCCATCATGATAAACCATTTGAGGAATTCTTCTCCATTGTTATACAGCTACTCAATAAAACCTGGAGAGAAATGAAAGCCACAGCCAAAGATTTTGAAAAGGTAAAATTAATATTTAGGACACTCGATTGAACGCTCTGGAATTTAACTGTCTCAGTCCCATCGAAAGGTATCAAAAGTGTGAGAGAGAGAGAGAAATGGGATTTAATGTCCACTCAATACAATCTTGGTCATTTCGGGACTAACATATGGTTTAATTTTATTTAATTAATTTGCTTGCACGTAGGGGTCTTAGCAGTGGGAGGAAACTGGAGAAACCCCACGAGGTTGGACAGGCGACCCTACTCGTTCTGACGTACAACCGGGGAATCGAAACCACGCCAGTTGACTCAATGACAGACTTGTGATACAACGCGCACGCGCTTACCATTTGGCCATCCACCCCGCTCGACCAATCAATCTACGTAAAGCGTTCTATTTATGGGACTAGCAGAGCTCTTCTATAGTAAATCTTAATAAATTCATAGACACCTGTATGTATAAACTTGTGTGATAAAATTCCATTCATGTCAAATGTTTGTCAAAGGAGAATGAAAGCATTACTCACTGCCAAATGTATGTTTTCATTTGAAATATTTACTTGGTTGAGTATAAATTTGTTACACTTTTTACTGTGTAACCCAGGTATCATTTAATATTGTGTATCTAGCACTGATTTCTTTCACATATGTTTAATATCAAATTTTGGTTTAAACTTTCGTAAAAAACGTTTAAAATCACCATAAATCATCTAATTTGTACTTGTGTCCAGTTTAAAGCTGACCATTCAATTTTGATAATGAGTGTCCAATTTACAAGTGTTTAATTTCTCAATCACTGTTGAAAAATAAACAACCCAATTGATTAATGATGTATAATGATTAATGTTTGGACAGTGGTCAGGAATTAAATACTTGTAAATTTGACACTCATTATCAAAATTAATCAGTCAGCTTTAAACTGGACAAATTAGATGATTTTTAGTGATTTTAAACGATTTTTAAATAAGGATCTGATATTAAACATATGTGAAAGAAATTAGTGCTAGATACACAAGATTAAATGATACCTGGGTTACAGTGTTTATTGTTGATATGTTAATCTAAATATTTGGAAATTGTTATAAAACTGATTTTATGGATATTGGCCAATGACTTGTGACATTAGATATCTATTGTCTATTTATCAATGAATGGCCTGGAAGTTATCAATTTTTTCTATTTCTTCAAAATGTGAATAACAACTTTACACTACAATGTATGAAGCTGTTGTTCTCTGTTATTTGTAAGAAAAGAAAAACTGTCCATGCAGAATTTTCCTCATTGCACAATGCAGGGTGTATGCCAGTCTTCATTAGCCAAGTGGGTGCATCAGATTAGAATGTTAAAGAGCTAAATCGCTAATATTTGGGACCTAGAAATCGACACAAATAGGTCGCAACGCATATAATAATGTAATATGAATGTATATAAACTGATTTACATTCAATCGTTTCTGTTTTTACTGTAATTTCTTATCAGTTATGTTCGGCGAAATGACAATCTTTATTTTGCAGTCTACACCGATGATATTTATTGCAAATGCTCTCTAGATAAGAATATAGCATTACCATTTGACATGAATTGTGGAATATGTCTAGCCGTGATTTTTGAGTCCCTTGTTCCAAATGGCGCTAAAACGCATTATACACAATTCGTGTACCAATGGTAAATTTTTTCTCTTGAATATTGGATATCAGAAGTCCATCTTTTCATTGTAAGATCACAAGACCAATGTTAATATGAATTGACAAATAATTCTTGTTTTCAATGTCAAAGATTTTTGATGATATTGTGTTTGGAACTTAGCCACTTTAAACCCCATTTCATTTCAATTCATATGAATAGGATGATATACACCATTTCATTTCAATTCATAATGCTAGGTTTCCACTATCATGGTTTTAATCGTAGTTATCCTATCAGGTCTTATCATATATTGACGTCAGCCGTAAGAATTGTGTTGGTTGTATCGAAACGTATCTGCACATACCAGATCATGGACTCAATAGGGACAATCCTGTCGTAACGTATCACACAACAGTGGGAACGTAGAATCAGGTAATTAAAGTATAAAAACATGACTCAATACAATAAGATACAATTTTATGATTTTTCTACTTATTCTCTTCCTTATAATGTTGTGACAAGGAAGTATATTCATTCTTTTATCAATCTATTTATATAAGTTTATATTTCTTCCCTGATTTCAGGTATTGGGTGTAGTTAAAGAACAGGTGATTAGAGCATTAGAAATCCACCCAGCAACCTTTGATGCATTTAAGAATCGTCTTAACCAGTTGAGCTATGCTGAAATCATGAAGTTATGGGAACTTGAAAGGCAGTCGAAAGAAGAATGGTCTTCGCAAGCTAAACCAATCATGTAAGTTCTTTTAAAATTTTATCCAAGAATTAATTTTAAGTTTGAAAAGTTGAATTGAAGTGAATCCGACCAATAAACCACTTTTACAGGTGTCCCCTGGCTCTTAAAGGAAATGGTCACCCTTTTTCTATATTCATTTCTCTTAAACCAGATAGATCAACTTTTTAAAACTTTCCTCTAGCCTGCATTTCAGACAACACACTAAATAAAAGATTGTGTTCGTAACACCAGTGGTGGAGCCAGAAGCAGTAATTGTTGATTCCAGAATGTTGGAATATTTAAATCAGCATTAGATGTGGCGACCATGATTCAATGGAATTGATTTGTTAATTTCGTAGGTGGCTCAGTGAGTAAGGGGCATGCTTACTAGCCAGGAGGTCTAGTGTTCTATCTGAGAATGTTCCTCACAATTTTCCGGCCTGGTTTCGGATGTCACGCAAAAAATTTAGCAAGAAACAGAATGGACTGGAAAAGAACACAGGTCCTGTGTAAATCTTGGCATGTCTTCATTAGTCTGAGGGAACACAGGACCTCGGTTTTTCATTCAATCCGAATGACTAGACAGCTGTCCTTGTCAGGCCCTCCGTCCTGCACCACTGACAAGGGGAAACCACGTCGGAAAACCCCGATGAACTTTCTGGGCCAATGCAGGGATGGAACACGTGACCTACAGGCTAGCGAGCCAGCATCATACTCACATAGCCTCCGTGGCTTCGCAGAAAAGAGTATTGTTCATGTTAAATTTTATGAAGGAAATGAAGAGACCAATCAAACTTTGATTTATATTTTTATTTTATGATTTTATTCCAGCGAGTTACGAGAGAAACTGAAACCTGAAATATTGGAATTAATTAAACAACAGAGGTTAAATGTATTAGAAGAAGGGACTCGATTTAATAAATATACGGCTAAAGCTCGGATGAAAGGTAGGTTGAAGAAATGAGAAGTAAAACATCAAGTCCTCTCTTTAAAGTTTAAACCATATACTAACATTTTGAAGAAATGACAAATTTAATGTCGGGGACTCTATAGTTTAAACAATATACTAACATTTTGAAAAGATGACAAATTTAATGTCGAGGACTCTGTTTATAGTTTAAACAATTTACTAACATTTTGGGCTGTATGTTACACTTTTACTTCAGCTAAAGCCATACTTAACGGAAATATTAAGGTCACAGCAATTTGCATTTTTGTTCTACTGGAACACTTTATTAAAACTCTCCTTCCAATTTCTTTCGAAGAGAAAAAAGAAAAAAAAAATTAGAAACAAAAAATACTTGGATGCCCTTCTCAAAAGCTTTCAGATCAGTGATAATGCCTTGTTAATATTTACAAAATTAATCATGAAAGCTTAAATTGAGAAATTCAAAATGGTTGAAGTAGAAGTTTAGATAAAATAAGAACAGGGAATGTGGCCATTGTTATAGTTGTTTAATTAATTAACCGAAGGCATACACCTTAATACAAGAAATTAATACAAGCAAGATAGTAATTATCATAGCATTAATTTGAATGTGCATTTTTATTCCGTAAAATGGAGTAGCTGCCCCAGAGATCAGTGTAAATTTTTTATGTCGGTTTAGTTCAAAATTAATTACAAAAATCAAATCTGCCATTATTTTTAGGATCGTATTGATTAGAATACACATTTATATCGACGCCAGTTTCAGGATTCATTGATTTATTGTGTTTACAGAATCATAATTTCAGAAGTTCATGTTGATACTTTCACATAGCCTTACAATTTAACAGGTGTTCAACAAATTCAAATCTAGGTTATTTACTGCAATGTTTATTTGCTGTGAATTCAATTCATTACTCTGCGAATTTTTGAATTTAAAAAAATCTGATTGACCAATGACTTATGCTAAAACAAATCTCACTAATGCCAGATTATTTCGCCCTTTAAAATTACTTTTGACAAAATCGTCTGCGACTGATGTTGCCAAAATGATCAGTCAAAACAATCTGACAACAAGAGAGGATCTTCCACAACTACAGTCACCTCCGCTGGTTTCAAACTCTCCATTACACATGTGTTTTGGGGTATTATATATAGTAACATCATTTGAATTATATTTCAATGTTATTATCTTTTATTTGAATTATATTTCAGTGTTATTATCTTTTAAAATGTAGTTTAAGTGAATTTAAGTATTTTATTTGCTTGAACACAGGGACATATGCCGAACTCAAACTCTAGTTTTAAGTTATAATTGATTGCTATGAATGTCATATTTTATGATGTATTAGGAACACAATCAGTCCTAACCATCTGAAAACTTACAAAATCCTGATGACAAATTACATGTAGATCGAAGAATAACTACATTAAGAATTGTCTGCGATATCACTACAATGGAAGCAGATTTTAAACCACCAGCTATTACTATCATCTTTCTAATCATGTAGATTTGATCAAACTTAAAGGGAGAAGCAAGGCTAAGACTCAAATATACCAGTACCGTGGTTACGATAATAAACAAATGATAATAAACAATTAATGCACACATCTTGTCAAAACTACAAACAATGATAACTTGGCTAAGAATAAAGTACCGGTACGTTGAATGAAATTTTCAATATATTAATTTTGCATCACCAGGTCTTGATCTAAATTTTACATAGTGAATCTTTGAGTATAACCACAAAGTTCCCAAGATTAAAATTGAAATTGAGTGTCTGATTTTAGTTTCAAATATTCCAATATCAGTTATTACAATTTGTTTTGACCAAAACTTTACAGATACAATGAAGAAACGTCAAAGTTATGGTAAAGTTATTTAATATCATCATTGTATAAATCTTGGTATTGTTGCTCTGTTGTCTCACTTTATACCAGCTGCACCTGTGACACCTCAGTCTACCAAATCAACATTCGTATATTTTCATTTCTTTTTTTAAATTCCAAATTGTTAATGTGGATTGATTTTTTTTAAACTTTCGCTTTTGTAACATTTGAACTTTTAGTTTGTATGTGTATATATATATTATTTGTCATTTGTTATGATTTCGCAGTGCAGTCTTTTTATCCTTATTTTTTTAGATGTTTAGTTTATTATTTATGAAACTGTCCATTATTTGATAAAAGTGTAGCCGTTACCCAAGTTTCAGTTGTAATAATAATTTGATCCTGATACGCGACATAGCTGGTAAAATGGAGAAGATTTATTAAAAAGGATGCAGACTTGAAAAACTTGGAAATATATCTTGGCCAGTGTTATTCGGTTCCTCTAGATACCGTCGAGTGATTAGCCAGTAATACCTCCATCAGACTGGGGTGATGTCCTTACTACGCTGCTACTGCGACGGAAAATGGTCTCAGGGCGCGTCAAGATCGCCATATGCGTGGTGGAAACGTCAGATATCGTTCTGTGGTCTCCATGATCGCAAATGATCGCCGAGTCACGGCTCTGCGATCGACGAGTCAAGGTTCTGCGATCTGACTTCGAAAGCTGTGAGAATGCAGCTTTTTTCAAGCTTGTAATTTTTTGGGACATTTTCTCGCGTTGTGTTTACGATTGCCGGCGACCCTGTGCATTTTCTGGTCGCCGTACGGTCGCAGCAGCTTAGTAAGGACGCCACCCCGGTCTGACGGGGGCATAGGGAAACATGGGTGTATTAAACATACATTATGCAAGATCTTTCTTTAGGCCTGAAATGTTATCTAAATTATTAATTAGACATTAATTAACCTATCCAGACCATAATCAACTCTAGATGGCATCGCTAGCCTACAATCTTTAGTGGATTATGAGCCAATTTACTGCATAACTTTCCTTCACGATTTAACGATTAAATGTATAATCAAGACTATGCTGTTTATCGTACCGACTTTAGTAATGATGATCGAGGCTAGGCGGAAATTTCAACCGCTTAGTTCTCGGTTTATAGTGGATCAATTTGAATAAAATTTTCAGCAAATTGACTTTATATTATCTAGTTTTGAACTATTATAGTGAGAACTGCCATCTCTTTATCGAATCTCCCATAATGTATCTTTAATGTTTCCCCCAATTCAGTCTGTTACACACCTGTTGTCTGATTTCTACGTAACAATATAGAAAAGAAACAGCGCCGCCCTACTGACCGTCTGCACAACTACAGATTGTTTCAGTATGAATTGATCATACGGTATATTATTAGGCCTCGAAAAATGACTTTAGTTGTACTTAAAGGACAATGTTGGTGTCAGTCATTATCACATATGTGATGAACTGGTTAAACACGTTCCAAATATAATTTTAACACAGAGAACATTGCTGCAATAGATGCCAAATGAAGATTTCAAGAAATGGAAGTGACGAAAGCAAAGGGAAAACACAAATTATCCTTCCATATAATGACTGAAGTGTCGAGTGATAACAGATACACAGGTGAATTTCTGCTCACTAATAATTTCTTCGAAGACTGTGAGAGGATATCTGACAACTCAAAAAAGTAATTGAATGTCACTAGATAGAGAAAAGAAAACAAGAAAAAGGGATAATTAGTGAGCAGAAATTCACCTGTGTATCTGTTTTCAGTCAGTTATGTAGAAGAATAACTCATGTTTTCCTTTTGCTTTCCCCACTTTCGTTTCTTGAAATCTTAATTACTGATCTATTTTAGCAATGATCTCTGTGTTAAAATTATATTTGGAACATGTTTAACCAGTTCTATCACATAATTGATAATGACTGACACCAATATTGTCCTTTAACAAACTGACAAGCACCTATGAACTGGTACCTGACATTTTAAACTTTGTGGCGGAAACCAGAATATTTGTGCTTGGCATTGTCTGTAATTGTTGCCTATTTTTCCAGGTTTGATATTATGTAAATTAAGCTTTACATGTGACTCACTGTCAGATAGTTATTAACAATTAGAGACAGAAGTTTACACTGTAGAAAATTAACCTGTGTTAGTTTTCAACCAACATTCTCAAATTTTGTAAATTGATACATGTAGTTATATTTATTGAAAAACTATTTTTATTTTCTCTTCTAATAACTTCTAAATATTAAATACAAATCCAAGTATTCTAAATAAAAGAATATTTAGTATGTGGTATATAGTATAATATAGGAAGTAGGGGGGTTGGATGGCCAATGCATCATAAGGTCTGTCATTGAGTCAACTGGTGTGGTTTCGATTCCCCTGTTGTACGTCACAAGGAGTAGGGTCGCTTGAAAAACCGCATGGGTTTTCTCCGGGTGCTCTGGTTTCCTCCCACTGCTAAAGACCCATACGCGCAAGCAAATTATTGAAATAAAATTAAACCATATGTTAGTCCCGAAATGACCTAGTTCGTGTTGTGTGGACATAAAACCCCCTTTCCCTCTCTCTATATATAGGAAGTGATTATTTTTTGAACCAGTTCAATACATTATTGTCTTCTCCTGAGAGCAATACTCTTCAACAAAAGCCTAAGGCTCAAACAATACAAGTACAATCAACAGTCTTAGCGTGCTTGTTCTGTCAAACTAATCAATGGTATTAGTTTCAGAATTTTTAACTGATCTGTGAATCGGGATATAATTCAGTAAACTTAATGATATAAAACTAAATATTACTAAGAATTCACATCAAACCAGTCTAATTAAAATTAGATCGTTGTTTTAATTTTTGATACCCCACACTACATAAAGATCTAACTATGTCGCTGATCCCTAATTGTGCATTTTTTGAACAATATCAAATTTCTCGTGACTTAATCCATGCTAAAATGTACATATTTTTTTTTTTTTTTTCACAGTTAGTAACGCGAGCAAAATAAATAATCTCTCGACTTGGATTCAATCAGATTAAACAGTACAAATCAAAAGATTTTATCGAACACTTATAGGTGACACTAGCTTGTGTATATCGTCTGAGGAGAATGCCCAATATTGTAATAATTCATCATATATTTGTAAATACTGAAGATAATAGAACTATTTTTGGGCTGATATTCATTTTTGAGATTCGACTTTCACAATATTGTAGTTTGCCTGGGATTCAAAATCACTTAAATGAAAATCAGCAGATTTAAGATTATTTTATCAAATAACCATGAAGAAACTTCCGAGTTGCTAAAAATTGAATACTGGTACATCAAGAATATCCAATTTGTTATAATTTTAAGACTTGTATATCAAGACTGTGCTGTTTTATGTATGTGTAGTAAGAAGGTCCATTCACATGTTGACTGAACTTTGGCATGCAAATATTCGCATGGATCTTGAACGATTCTAGCTTGTCACTTCATAGGCTGATTTCTACTTCACATAGGCATGGATACACACACACACACACTGAGTAAGTCTATACATTTGAATGCAAAACTACTTTTGACTGCTGACTTTCGGTACCATTTTGTGCATATGGAATGAAATGAATGTTTTTTATTCTCATAAAAAAAAAAAATTAAAAATTCTTTTCCAGAGTTTCTTTATATGATAATTGCTCAGAAAGAATGATGAACAATTGATTACCATTTTTTTTTTTTTTTTTTTTTTTTTGTACCTGAACCCACATTTAAATATAATGTCTTGATATTTTTTGTTTTTGAACTTGAACACACATTTAAGATTAATGTCTCAATATTTTTTGTGTTTGTGCCTTTGAAACCATTTATTTTGTATTTCAGGTGGTTGTTATTTTCATATCTTCTGTCAGATTTATATTTCTCCTTTATATTTGATTTGTCGTGTTTATTTACCTCCTTTCTTGAAATATTCCACATTAGAATATCCGGTTTATATAGCAGCCATAGTACAGTTTTATTGGTGTGAATGGGCCTCAAAGATTATTAAACATACATTATGCAAGAGCTAAATCTGCCTATTGCAAGTCTTTCTTTAGGCCTGAAATGTTATATAAACTATTAATTAGACCATAATCAACTCTCAATGTCATCTTATGTGTCCGATTTTCATTGGATTTGAATCCGATCTGCTGTTCAAAGCTTATTGATGATTAAATGCAAAAATGGTTAATCAAGATTTTGTTAATTATCGTGGCAGCGGTAACAATGACAATCGAGTCGACAGTGATTTTATAAAAAAGTTTTTTTCGGCTTAGAGTGAAGCAATTTGACTGAAATTTTCAACATATTCCCTTTACATTATCTAGTTTTTAACTATTATAGTGATAACTGTCAGCTCTTTATCTAATCTCCCATTATTCCCCTTTAAATTAACCAATAAATCTGTGTAATAAACTGCATATTCTTCATGTACCAAGTTTTATAATTTAATAGCAAAAAAACAATCTTCATCTATATTCTAAAGGCTTAGTTGAAAAAATTTCTTGCTGAGGTATTTATTTTGAAAAAATATTTTATTGCAGATGAGGAAACATGTCCTTTTATTTTAATTGTTAAATCTACGTGGAAATCAAATTGTTTTCATCATTCTCGTTGTCATGATGAAATCACTGTCATTGTTATGACTGTCAATAAAAAGGGAACTCCATTGTCTTCAGTTAACAGGAATACAAGTATTAGTAACAGACAATGGAGTTCTGAAAATTGTACTGTAGGGTTTTCTTATGATTTTATTACAGAACATTTATATTTTAATAATAGTCAGATATAGCTTTATATAATAACTTAACTAAGGGTTTGGTATATTTTCAGATAAATACTGGTATTGGAGACTTGCTCCTAATCATAAAGCATTCCATTATGGTGTATGTTCTGAAAGTGATTCTCCTCCACTAGAACAACTTCATAATAAATGTAGGTATTGTTTTAAATAGAAAATACCTTTAACCCTTCCTGAGCTAACCACTTCATACCCATAGAGGGCTATACAAATATTGAGTAAAAATCAAGCTTTAAACCCCGTTGTCTGGATTGGCTCAGGAAGGGTTAATATAGGCAGTTAGGCACAACCAATAAACAGACTGAAAAAATGGTACAGAATTAAATACATATTTTTCCAAAGTAGATCTAGAATTGAGAAAAAGTATCTTTTGTTGTCAGTGGTAATTAAACTTGAGAAGTTTTAAACCCAACTTAATTTATTTCATATTATGTCAATGTTGGCCGAGAAAGTTGGTTTCCCCTTGTTAGTTGTTCGGATGTTACGAAAACCCGAGGTCCCATTGAAATTCGATATGAGAGTAGGTCGTAGTGCCACTATCTGGGTAAATTTTCACTAATAGCAAACTGTATGGCATATACCCTTCTTCATTAACCCAGTCGGAGCAGAACAGAAGGACGTTAAACTCCATTTCATTTCATTTTTGGACCAGTAACTAGGTACTAAGCACTACTCATTTTGCTGTAGTTGTTGTTCTTCTTCAAATTCCTGAGTGGTTTAACGTGTGTGCGTGAAATGGCAAGGTCTGTCATTGAGTCAAGCTATGTGGTTTCGATTCCCCAGTTAACATGACAAGGAGTAGGATCGCCTGTCCAACCTTGTGGGTTTTCTCTGGGTCCTCCAGTGTCACCTACACGCACAAGCTAATTATTGAAATAAAATTGAACTATATGTTAGTCCTAAAATGACCTAGTTTGAGGCAATGAAAGTTAATCCCCATTTCTATCTCTCTCCCCCCACCCCCATAGTACACTTGTACTTGTTTTAAAAATAATACATTTTTATTTGTTAAGTTTTAATTGTGTGGATATTTCTTGTTTTCAGTACCAATTATGGATATTAAAGGTCTACAAGTAGGAAAAGATTGTACACATGTTAAAGAAAATAGACCTAGAAAAGGGGTAAGTTTTTCTCTACCAATTATATTATTAAATGGGTTTTTACTGGTCATACTAAACCAGATTCTAGTATTTGAAATACAGCTGTAAGTATTGTTGAGTGAGTAAAATGGAAGATCTATATATTAAAAAAGAAACAGATATAAATGAAATATCAAGATACAAAAACATCAACAATGAGATTTGAATCTCAGGAAGGAACCAAGATAAACACTGGTACCTAATCAAACCATGACACCAGATGGAAAACCAGGCTACTGAATCAAACCACGACACCAGATGGAAACCAGGTTACTGAATCAAACCACGACACCAGATGGAAACCAGGTTACTGAATCAAACCACGACACCAGATGGAAAACCAGGTTACTGAATCAAACCACGACACCAGATGGAAAGCAGGTTACTGAATCAAACCACGACACCAGATGGAAACCAGGTTACTGAATCAAACCATGACACCAGATGGAAAACCAGGTTACTGAATCAAACCACGACACCAGATGGAAAACCAGGCTACTGAATCAAACCATGACACCAGATGGAAACCAGGTTATTGAATCAAACCACAACACCAGATGGAAACCAGGTTATTGAATCAAACCATGACACTAGGATGGAAACCAGGTTACTGAATCAAACCACGACACTAGATGGAAAACCAGGTTACTGAATCAAACCACGACACTAGATGGAAAACCAGGTTACTGAATCAAACCGTGACACCAGATGGAAACCAGGTTACTGAATCAAACCACGACACCAGATGGAAACCAGGTTACTGAATCCAACCAGGACACCAGATGGAAAACAATAAAATTATAGTATTTCTTATTTTCATTTAATGTTAAATTTTGTAATTTGTTTTTTTTTTTTTACAGACAAATGCAAGTGACAGTGCCTTTAGTATAATACCAGATACCTCGGAATCATATAATTTTGTTGCTTCATCAGAATTAGAATTTGATCATTGGACGGATGGTATCAATGCCTTATTAGGAAACCCTGTAAGTGTTTTTCAAAACCAAGTTCTTAGACATTTGATTTCAATCTGTTTCACAGAGGATTACGAAAGTGTTCTAATATCTCTGTAAAAGTTGACTACCTTTAACATGTGACGTCTCATCATTGGCTCAATGGCGCATGCATTGTTTACATAAGACGTTCTAGTTCGGGCAGAATAGAGACTTTTCCTCATTTTAATACCCATTTGCACTATATAGGAAATAATTTTTACCTACAAATACGTCAAACGCCTTTATTTATTTTTCTAATACATAAAAAAAATGTTTTAGAATTTCATTTGTCGGTGAAAAAAAATTAATATTTGTGGCTCATTAAGTCCCATTGATGTCATCCTTATCAGTGATTGTAGCGGCCTAGCGAAAATTCACTGCTGATCAGTGTGATTTAATTTTGTTACTTCTGCAATGCAAGAAGATGAATTTTGTTTGAAAGTTATTGAAATCCAGGTTCTGTTCTCTTTGAATTGTAATGAAGCAGTCAACGGGTGGTTGGGTGGCCGAGTGATCTAATGATGTGCTGTAGATCGTAAGGTCTGTCGTTGAATCAAGTGGTTTGGTATTCATCCCAGGCTGATAAGCAATCTGATTAAAGATATGCATGAGCTAAATCTGCTAACTCATCCAGACCATAATCAACTCTCGATAATCAACTGGATTAGAACCCCATTTGCTGCTCCACTTTCATTCTTGATTTAATCATGAAATGGATAATCGAGACTATGTTTTTTATCATACCAACTTTAGTAATGATGATCGAGGCTAGGCTGAAAATTCAATCGCTAAAATCTTGGTTTAGAGTGGATCAATTTGATTGAAATTTTCAGCAAATTACCTTTACATTATCTAGTTTTTAACTATTATAGTGAGAACTGCCAGCTCTTTATTTAATCTCTCATAATGTATCTTTAAAACACAGATCCTATTTCTTTTCGTTTTTTATAGTTCAAAATTTCGTTTTACTTGTTTTTACTACACTTGGATCTGGAAGAGTTGTTATATAACAGCCTTTCTGGATGATGTGAGGGATTAGCCAATGAAACGGTCTGTTACGGCGAGTTCTGGGCATGCTGTGCAAGGAACTGTGGGTAAACCACTAGAAACGTCAACGCTGATTGATTAATCAATGTCTGGCGCCATAGGGTCAAAAGCTTCCTTTACAACTGGTCAGAACTTCATGTAGTGTAGGCCATTCAAAGTATAACAAAACGAAACGAAATATAGATCTGTATCATAATCAGATTGGCTGATAAGTGACAAAGAGTATTGTTCATGATCTTTTCTCCGGGATCTCACTGCTGAAAACTCCTACTTACACATAAATTATTGAAATAAAGATCACCATATGTTAAGCCCCAAATTATAAGCTATTTTATGTTCATCTCCCCCATATCTCTTGCCCTCTTTTTTGTGAACACTATTAAACTGATCTTTTACTTTTGCCTTATTTAAATAGTTGGGTGATTTTATTTGATCCAGGGGGGTTTGGTGACCGAATGGTTAGCACATGCACACTGTATCATACAGTCTGTCATTGAGTCAACTGGCATGGTTTCGATTTCCCGGTTGTACATGACAAGGAGTAGGTTGCTTGTCCAACCTCGTGGGTTTTCTCCGGGTCCTCCAGTTTCCTCCCACTGTTAAAGACCCCTACGCGCAAGCGAATTATTGAAATAAAATTGAACCATATGTTAGTCCCGAAATGACCTAGTTTGTGTCAAGTGGACCTCTCTCTCTCTCTCTCTCTCTCTCTCTCTCTCTCAGTCTCTCTCTCTCTCAGTCTCTCTCTCTCATTTGATCCATAGATTAGTGAAATGTAAATGAACTAAATTATTTTTGAATATTTATAAACTGATATGGAATAAATACATGCTATTATTATAAAAATATCAATTATTTCAGATGACAAGTAGAAAAACAGAAGCTGATCTAGAAACTTTACTGAGTATGGAGATTAAACTACGTCTACTAGATACTGAGGGTATTACCATACCTAAAAATCCTCCACCTATGCCTAAAGAACCAAGTAATTACAACTTTATATATAATCTATGAATGTAATCATCTTATTACTGCGTTATTGTAGCATTTTAAAATCACCATTTACGTCTTCACAGAAGATCGTAACGTATTTTACGACTTCACAGGAGATCGTATCATAATGTTTTAGTTGTCATCAGTAAGCTCAATATGCTCATTGATATTCATAAGAATATAATTCAAATATTTGATTTTTTATCAATTTAATCAAAGAAAATTTAAGATATATATACTAATCTATTATATATTGTTATAGCTGTTCAAGTTTTAGCATTGTCTGATATATTACTAGTGGTTTCAGTATTTTTCTTCTTGTATAACATGAAGGGATGACCCTGGGCGATATAGATGTGTTCATCTCATAGTTTGTTAAATAAAAGAAATAGAAGTTTGAATAAATTGGTCTCTAACCGAGAAATCTGGTCATGAATTCAGTTAAATAGAAGTCTGGTCATGGATACTGGTATAATGTTTAAAAGGCCACAAGTGTAATTTCAGTATTTTTATCATTACTATCTTCTTATACTAAAGGGTATTTATTAATATTTACCATGTCATATATTTATGATATACAAATCACATTTTAATGTGTAAAATAATACAACTAGCTAACTGATGAAACAGAACAAAAACTTACCATTTAGTAATTTATTATAATATTTATGTAGATATATTTTTAAAACACGACTTATTAATGAAGTATTCTATGAATATTTGATGGTGTAGATATTATTAGTAGTAGAAAAATTTAGTAGTGATTTTAAAGGAAGAATAATCCTGGGACGTTATGATCCTGAAAACATAAATTAAAATAATTTATAGAATGCAGTCTATTGAATGGCTAACATCAAAAGTTTTAAGTTTTCGTGAATGAGTCCATCAATGGAACAGGTCGCTATACTAAATTAAGAAGAGTTAACTCTCATTTGCATTGTGCAACTTGAAAATGAAGAATAAAAAAATGAAGATTTAACAAGAATTGTTATTTTCATGTTGGTACTACATCATTGATCCAGATAAAAAGAAAGGAAGAGAATATTCGTAACCACAGTATTCAGGGTTAGGACAACTTTCTATTGGGACACTCTGTATAATAAACAAGCCCAAGATGTGCTGGGTAGTTTTAATGAGCTAGGATTAGGTATCCAAAGTATTTAGATAGAGATAATCTTTATTTGTTAACATTGTGGTTTGGAATAACCTCATCCTAAAAATAAATCACCTTTGTTTTGCTGAACTGATGAATGATCAAATTAATTACCATAGGTCACAGTTATTTGTAGATGTGGTTGTATATTTCTCTCATCTGTGTCCATTAGTCACTCAAACTCTCATAATTATCTTGTAAATTCTCTAGTAGGTCTCTTGTTTCAAATATATTGACTGGCAGTGAAATTTACATCCCATAAAATTTCAAACAATTTAACCTTAATTTAACAACAAATACAATTAAATTTATACTTTTTATATATAAACACAATTAAAAATTTATTTTAAAAATTGTCATTTTCTTTGAAAAAGATATTCTGCTAAAATTAACTGGCTGGCAATATTTCGAAGGAAAAGCCCAGCTACAATTCTTGGTGCTATCATTTGTAGTTAGGTGTGAATGAAGTCTATAAGTTTTGGTCGTTTCTCCATTTTTCTGTCACAAAGTTATGGCCCAAAATCTTGAGAATTTTCTTACAAGAGAAATTTTTTAAAAAAATTTTGAATTGATTCGAGTTATTTGGCTAGATGTTGTCAATAAATTTTGTGTGAACATTTTAAGGTCACAATTCTTAAAAGCTGCTGGAGGGCTTTTAATGTTTGTGTAGGAATACATTTAAAGATACATTCCCATGTACAAACTGGGTGATTTGATGATATATATGGACTAAAAACATATTCAAACTAATTAATTAATCATAATTTTGCTTCGAATCTTTCTCAAAACATTGTAATTGTCAGGGAATAACCTGCTATAAAAAATTGATCAAAAGAGGTCATGTTTGTGTCATGTGACTTACCTCTCTCGGTACCTAGCAACGGGTGCGAAGCCGGAGGAGAACTCATTGCATATACAACTCATTTATTGAAGCCCAACAAATTCTCGGATTATCCACAGCCCAAGTTTTTTCCGTGGTTTTTAACTCAAAAATTGTTGCACCATCAACTTGATCAACATATACATCAAGCGCTCACTAACGCTGGGAGGTTAGGCAGTCTTTGTGTGCTACTTTCGACGTTACTCGAGCAGACATCACTAGTCGTCAGGTTGCTGGTTAGGGAAACCCTTACATTTTTGCCCTGTATGCACTCCATGGGTGTTATTTATGGAATCCAGTATTTTTCTAGTAAGATTGGATGTTTCTACTTTCCATATATACCAAAATTGCCATACTTTTATTGGAAATAACCACCCGATAAATACTTTTGTGGGAAAGTATCTTTAAATATGATGAACTTAGTTTAGTATATTTATTTTATACATTTATACTGTATTATTGTGTATATCATTTGCCATATTAATACTGATTTTACTTATTGCCATATATAGACATACATGTATGTATGTATATATGTGTTCCAAATACATATGTTATTTTGAATAGAGAGATTAATGAAACAAATACAAATAATGACACATTCAGATTATAAAATGATCTAAATATATTCTTGTATATACACAAAAGTGAAAATATTTTACGTTAAATCTTCAAGTTAAGTAGAAAAACTTGTAATACTATAAGTTTTATTCGTAGATTGAGACTATATGAAAAAAGATTAACATCAAGCCAGGTTTATGTCGAATTTTCAACTGGGAGCAACTGATTTTAACTACTTGTAAGAGTGCTTATCTCGATCGAATCAGCAACTAGTTATTTTGAGTGAGCTGTAAGTCGTGCTCCGGTTGACCCATTTTCAGTTGAAGCCAGTTGTTGAAATGCCAGTTGCTTTCAGTTGCCGAAACGCCAGTTCCTCACAGTTGCCGAAACACCAGTTGCTCTCAGATTCTGAAATACCAGTTGCTCTCAGATTCTGAAATACCAGTTGCTCTTAGTTGCCGAAACGCCAGTTGCTCTCAGTTGTAAGGTCAACATAAACCCTGCTTCACATTATGTGTTTTGTGTCATGATCATATTAATAATGACATCAATATAATATTTTTTTATATGTTAGAAATCTTACTGAAAAATTCTCTAAAAGTTATATCTTTTGTGGTATAATTAAATTGAAAACCATGAGATTTTCTTTAAATTGATAAAATTGAAAATATTTTGCAAGGTTACTGAAAAATCCTTTTGTTTTTACAGTTATGTTTAATGAAAACCATGATTTTTTTTATTTTAATTTGCTGGAATTGAAAATATTTTTAATATTTTACAAATCTTATTTAAATGTACTTGTAAATTACACATCAACTTTTGAGTTATAATTTTGTTGCTTGTATTGAAAACCATATTTTTTTTTAATTGCTAGAATTGAAATTATACTGTAAATGATATTAATTTATAATTATGCATTCTGATTACACTATTTAAAGCTTGAAGATGTAATATTGTAAATGCCATGATAACAGGGTTATTATAAGAGAACCAGGGTTTAATGTGTTGTAGGTTTAGTAGGGGTAAAACTGTAGAAGTGTATAAAATGTTATCAATCATATACATGTACTGCTCAATAACCTCTCATCTTAAATATACATTCTTTAATGACAGAAGATAATTACCGGTATATAATACCATATTCCACTGAATAGAAACAAGCACACTGGACTTCTATAGTGAATTCCAGCATATAATCGATCTGTAAATTGGTTATTAATTGTGGTTCGTTCAATCATGGGGTGTAATGTCCGGCTTCCATCCAGAGTGATATTGCAGACATGCTTCCTGGGAAACTTGCCAAAAGAGCCAGTCATATTTAAAAGGCCGGTCAATAGGATGGGAATGGAAGTGTCTCCTCCGTCCCCTGAATCAGTTGTTAAATGTCTCTGAAGGATTATTAGTACCGAGTACTGGAGAGTTGGGTGGCCGAATGGTTAACCGAATGGTTAATGCCTGTGCAATGAATCAGTTGTTAAATGTCTCTGAAGGATTATTAGTACCAGGTACTGGAGAGTTGGGTGGCCGAATGGTTAACCGAATGGTTAATGCCTGTGCAATGAATCAGAAGATCTGTCACTGAGTCAAGTAGCATGATTTCGATTCCCTTCTTGTATGTGACACGGAGTAGGGTTGCCTGTCCAACCACAAGGGTTTTCTCCGTGTATTCCGGTTTCCTCCCACTTCTAAAAAGACCCCTACACACAAGCGAATTATTGAAATAAAATTGAACCATATTTAAGTCCAAAAATGACCTAGTTTGTGTCAAGTGAACCATCCACCCCCCTCCTCCCCCTCTCTCTCTCTCTCTCTCTCTCTCTCTCTACAGGGTACTACATGGAAACAAACCACATTGAATTTTAGTTTGGTGATTGTTCAGTGGAATATGGTAAAAGTAATCATAAATGAAACAATTCTCATTCCATTGTCTGTTTCATGTTTTTGTATATTTGCTTCTATTGACCAAAATGAGTTTTAATAAACAATGCATATGGATATATTTCATATTTGGGTGACATGATTTTAAGATGTTTCCTCGCAGCAAACCTTTCTTAAAAGCTTTTTTATGCAATATATTTATGTTTAGAATTTTATAGCTTAAATTTTTTTTAAAACTGAATTATTTAATTAAAATCTCCACATAATACCGGTATGCAAAATTATTTTAGGTAAATGTAAAATGTTTCTCAAAGGAAATCGGACACCCCGCTTACCCTTACATTCCTACGACTTATCAGTGACGTTTTTACTTCTGTGGGTCGATGCATAAACCTGATAAACCATCGAATTCTTGAAACTGGGAAAAGGATCGAATAATTTCTAAGTTTGATTAATTGCTTATAAAGTTATCGTACCTAATGTTACCAAACTTTGGGTTTGTTTTTGTTTTTGTTTAGTTTAAAGTCGCCAATCCTGATTGTTCATTTTTCAGACAATATGGAACTTACCCCAGCTTAATCTGTACTCAGATTGATTATTTGATATTGGCCGAGAAAGTTCATTTTAGTCGAAAACACTTAAGTATACTTCAAGTATTTATTCTGCTTCAATTTTGATAAAAAATTTTGAAAAGTTTATATAATCTTTAGAATAGCGCGTGTGCTAGCGATTATTTAGCGGATGGTGTCATTCCTCGGGGTATCATATTCTTACCCTCTGTACATAAGTCGGAACGGAGTTTAAGAGGAATGCCGGACTTCTGCTGAAAAATGTAGCGATTTATGACCCGAAAATACGGTAATTTTGGAGGAATTTGAAACAGTACAGATCGGCAGCAGTCGGCACGCTTTCATTCTATCGTATTACGAATTTTGTAGGAATATTACTGACAAATTTGAATACCGTACGGGAATTAAATATGAAAAATAACGAGGTGCACCTATTTTTATATTACGGACGAATTTGAATATTTTGTTTACACGTGATTTTTGTGTGTGGTCTAAAAACTTCCATTTTAAATAACGATAAGAGTTATGTCCCTTTATTTTCTGTAAAAATGTCCGACAAGAAAAATTTTGAAATCCCATCACTGCTTTAGATAGATGTGAATCAGAGTAGAACCGCATTACAAAACAGTATACTAATTTTTGGATATGGCCGCCATTTAGGGCAGAGATCTATTCTCGAAGTATTAAGTAGATGGATATTTGTTTGCAGAATACATTGTAGGTTACAAGTGACTTAAAATCCCTCAAACGACAATCAGGAGAAAATAAAATTATTTGATATCTGATAGAATATAGTCCGAACCATCATGTTTTGATCTTAATGTTGATTATTATGTTTATGCACGGACTCGACACACCTGTTTTATTTCTCAGCGTTTATTATCTTGTATATTAGTGCTGCTGTTAATATAGGTATATATATTGTCATGTTGTGTCGTTCTATCATTGTAAATGACATATGACATATTACATTAACCAAACGGTGCTATATCTGTATTTTATATAAGCTTATTATGTATATTATCATCATGAGTATATCAGACTCGGATCATTCATGTGTGTTATTGTTTTTGTCCTGTATTTCGTTGATTAGCATTGTTTTAGATGTAATTTCAATTAGGAAGATATGTAAATTTTAAAAATTCTCGAATGTGCTTCGTATGTCGTTGGTGCTATTACTGATCTTCTCACACACCATGACTTAACATATTGATAAATCTGATTTAAATACAGATCTATATTTCGTTTTGTCTTTTTATACTTTCGATGGCCTACACTACATGAAGATCTGACAAGTTGTACTGGAAGGTCGTGTCAGGGTCGTACAAGTGGCTTTTGACCCTATGATGTCAGACATTGATTAATCAGCCAGCGTTGACGTTTCTATTGGTTTACCCACAGTTCCGTGAATGGCACGCCAAGAAGTCGCCGTAACAGACCGTTTCATTGGCTAATCCCTCACTTCAACCAAAACCGCCGTAATATAACAGCTCTTCCAAGATCCTAGTGCAGTGAAGACAAATAAAACGAAAATTTTGAACTATAAAAAAATGAAACGAAATAGGATCTGTGTTTTAATCAGATTGCGATAAATCAGTTGAGATTTTTTAAGATTTGCACAACCACATGTGAAGTATTCTTTATGTTTATCTGCTCACATAATTTAGATTTTTTTTTTCGTTTGATTTTATAATGTTAAATATTATTGCTTGCAGATGCTTAGAACTACAGTTTGTTATACATGTATTAGAAACAATTACCGTATTATATTGGAAACCAAAGGTTTAATACAACTATTCAAGTTTTTACTCAATATATATTTATTCAATGTATATAATAATTAATTAAATATATAGCGTATATGGGCACATTAACTCAACTATATCAAATTTTAAAATAATATTCTGTACATAGAAATATATTATAATGCCTTAATTGTCAAAATATCATCTTTTTGCCCCCCTGAGTGTATTACGGTGGAAAATGTTTCTATGAATGTAATACAAAATATATCAATCTGATTATAAAACACAGAACCTATTTCGTTTCGTTTTTTATAGTTCAAAATTTTGTTTCACTTGTCTTTACTTCAAGGATCTAGGAAAATTGTTATATAACCCGTGTTAGGGTTGATGTGAGGGATTAGCCAATGAAACAATCTGTTGCAGCCAGTTTTTGGTGTGTGGTGCACGGAACTGTGTGTATTCTATCGTTTCGTTTTTTTATACTTTCGATGGCCTACACTACATGAAGATCTGACCAGTTGTAGTGGAAGGTTACGTCAGGTGTCATGCGAGCGGCTTTTGATCTTATGATGTCTGACATTTGATTAATCAATCAGCTTTGACGTTCCTTGTGGTATACCCAAAGTTCTGTGCACCTCACGCCCAAAACTTGCTGTAACAGACCGTTTCATTGGCTAATCCCCCACATCATCCAGAACGCAGGTTATATAACAATTCTTCCAGATCCTAGTGTAGTAAAGACAAGTAAAACGAAATTTTGAACTATAAAAAACGAAACGAAATAGGATCTGTGTTTTCATCAGATTGCATTTTTGCACAACCTGTTTAAAATGATAGCAGAATCAACTACAGTCCACTACAAATGGGATCACTAGGGAAAATATTCCTTGATGTTTTAGTCATCTATATAAGATTTTTCCAAGATTCATTATTCAGTGGATTGCTTAGCATGTTCAGTTAAACTTAAAATGGGCTTTAAAAATAGATATTAATTAAGACAGATATTATCACAATGTTTTGATTTATTTTGCTCAGCAGATTTTAATTCTTTTATAAAGTTATAATTTGAGGTTATTAAAAAAATACATGGGCAGCACTTTTTTAAATGAGTCTAAAAACAAAGGCTTCAAAAATGGTGCTTTATTATGCTCACCTACTGAAGAAAAGAACATTATTTAGAGAATATTCTGTTTTCTTGACCATGAAGTTATAAACCTATTTGGTATAATTTAATTAATCTAGACTTTTTACTGTAATATATTTATGATTTAGAGTACATGGAGATTTTTATTCTAGAAAACTTAAATCACTTAATATTGATAGTAACTTAGCATTATGAAATTCAGGATTTCAGTTACAATTCATTATAAGAGATTAAAATTAATGTGAATAAGGATCTGTGGTACAGAATATTAGATTAGAATGTCGAAGATCATCAAATAGTTCAGTGTCAGTGGCAGGCAGAGGTTTGGTGATGCTCAGGGCCAACTCCTTTATAGCATGCCCGCAAGACTCGGGAGGGGGGGGGAGGGGATCTAGTCGTTTCACACGTTAAACCATAAGATTGCCATTGAGTCAAGGGGCTTGGTTTCAATTCCCCGCTTGTACGTGTCGAGGAGTAGGATCGCCTGTCCAACCCTGTGGATTGTCTCAGGGTCCTTCAGTTTCCTCTCCCACTGCGAAAGACCCCTATGTGCTAGCGAATTTTTGAAATAAAATTGAACCATATGTTTGTCCCGAAATGAACTTGACCCCATTTCTCTCTCTCTCAAGACTCCACTAAGGGCCTAACACCAAGAAAGGAAGGCATTTCAAATATGTAAAAACAAATGAATAATCGTTTTATTCAAATTATGTTAATGTTAACCGTAAAAATGAATTTAAATTTCATGGTTGATTGGATGCCCCCTGAAATGGATTCCCCTGGCTTCCCTCCTCTCTGCAGGCCACTGTTCTGTGTAGTATCAATAGGTAATGGATCAAATAACCTCACAACTTTATATTATATTAATATTATGTTATTCTTATGTTCATATTTCTTTGTTTTTTATACATTTATGGAATCTATATAGTAGTATGATATCATTCTATGGAGAAATAAAACAATTTTTAAATTTTATGAAGTTTACAAAAGAAACTGTAGTTGTCTCCCTTGAACTGTCAACCATGCTTGTTTTCTTCCAACCCGAATGACATTCATTATGACATTTACTACACGAATTTGGCACGTGTAAAGTTTGTTTTTTTTTAATCCAAACATCTTTAACGCGATAAGAGTTCCAAGCCAACGTATGCCCAGGATTCACTAGACTGCAAAGATTTTCTCAACACACCAGATCCCTTCGACGCCAACATCAGTAGTTCGTCTATTTGTATAAAAGCAATTTATATTTCGCCTTTTGCATGGCAATTTTTGTTGGAATTTGGTCAAGAATCGAAGAAGAGGGGTTCTAGTATAGTGATGGAAATGTCATTTTACCCAAATAAAGAAGGTACCTTAAAAAAAAAATACACACAAGAACCCAGCATTAGAAATCTTGAAAAAGCGCCTCGGTATGTCATTGAACCCGCAGCAACGTTGGCTCAGTGAGTATACGATCCTAGTTCATTAATGAGTAGGTCTCGGGAATTTTCAGTCAGTTGTGCAGATATTAACCCACATTTCATGTCAACATCACTGGAGAGGCTCAGTGAGTAAGATGCTGGCTCACTAACCAGGCACGGGTTCGCTCCCGATGTTGGTATGGTTTACCCATGTCAGTGGTGCAGGACTGGGACCTGGCAAGGACAGTGTCTAGTAGTTCAGATGGGACGAAAACCCCAGGCCCTGTGTACATAAAAGATCCCTTGCCAGTTGGAATTCAATATAAGAGTAGGCCGTAACGCCACTGTCCGGGCAAAATTCCCTTCATAAATAGCAGACTGCTTGGATGCCCGTCTTCATTAGCCTCGACGGTGCAGAAAAGTAGTCCGTAAAACCTCCTTTCATACCATTTCCACAAACCTCAATAAAAACAAAGATTTTGTGCTGCATAATAATCTGTGGTGTTTTTTTATTTTATGTAAATCGCCCCCATGCACTCAATTTCCATTTTTTTACCGCCCTATGCTTGTTGGGTCGGGTTTTTAATATTTAGAATATTGCATCGAAACGTCCTTTGAGTTTTTGACAGCTTCTCGGCGTTTGTGGACAAAGTATAGCTATTTAGAAGCCAGAGAAATGATCAGAACAGTTCAGTCTGACTTTGTTGTTGAGATGAACCGCAATTGAAGCTACTTAATATTTACATAATATCGTGGGAATAATAAACAAATAACAGAATTCAAATTGAGATAGCAAAAAAAAAAAAACGGATAATACAACCCTACTTAAAAGCACACAGAGCGATAGCGTGGATCCGATAATTATCTACGCGTCCTTTCTGGTACAATTATATACTTCAATAGCATAGACAATAATATTATTACCTTTCAAAATGGGGCTAGAAATTACGTTTTGAAGTTTCTGTTCTGTTTGTTTTGATGGTTCCCGTTTGTCTGAAGATCTGATCTCGACTAAACCTTTGAACTATCAGACCAGAAGAACAAAAAATGGCAGTGCCAATTCCACTGATTAAATGTAATAGTTCGGTGTGTATTAGAACTCAAATGAACTACACTCCATCACCAGACAAAACAAAACTACATTGTTGATCAAAGTCATCGGTAGTGCCATAGACTTATTAAAATTACAATTCTGTCTCGTTCGTTCCTTTCATGTTTTTATTATATCCAAGTTCATTTCTGCAACATTTAAACATTTTCACGATCTAAGAGATGAAAAAGAACGCAATCGATTTTTCGCGCCACTGAAATGTGCCACAGTAAGAACAAATCTGATAGATTATCAATCCGATTGGAAAACAAAAACACAGCCATTGTCAAAATACAATGACATAAAATGGATTTTTAAGCCTTTCTCTTCTACACCAAGGCTATAATGAAGACGGGGCATATCCATCCATGCAACGTGCTTTGAGTAACATTTTGTCCTGACAGCTGCATTTCTGTCTACTCTGCATCGAATTTCAAGGGGTCTTTAACGTGCACGTCGGTTTTCGTAACATTCGAACGAGTACGCGGTCTTTTGGGGTTTTTTTTTACTGTTTTGAGCACATTACTTTTGTTATTCTGTTCATTTTATTTAATATGATGACGTGTGCAATGCTGGGGTTGAGCCGGTGAGATGAATGAGTGTTTCAGAATTACCGCACATTTCTTCAAAAAACAACTGATTACCACACAATTCTTCAAATAACAACTAATTCAGAGATTAACTATACGTATATAGATATTTTACTTGAAGTAAACATCAGTACAAAGACGTCCTTCAGATATATATTAAAGCACTCTAACGATAAATTATTAAATCCTTGCGAGAATAAAAATACATTTAAGAAGCTTTGCTTATAGACATACATTAATTGTTAATGCACTATCAAAGAAAACCTATTACAGATCGCGCCCCGCGGTGTAATAAAGAAATCCACAATTTATTACATGGAATATAGAAAATTAAAACAACACCAAGAGAAATAATTTGCAGGGGCAGGGGAGGGCTGGCTATGGGAATACTAAAATCTAAACTTTTGTACGAATCCGGTTATCCCGCTATTTGTGTACACGGAATCTCGTTTTTTTACGCTATCCGAACGACCAGACGTCCTGCAGCACTGATAAACGATAATGATTAAAGATACATTATGGGAGATTCGATAACGAGTTGGCAGTTCTCACTATAATAGTTAAAAAAAAGATAATGTAAAGGCAATTTGCTGAAAAGTTAATTCAAATTGATCCATTATGAACCGAGAACTAAGCGATTGAAATTTCCGCATAGCCTCGATCATCATTACTAAAGTCAGTACGATAAACAGCATAGTCTCGATTATCGATTTAATCGTTAAATCGTGAAGGAAAGTTATGCAGTAAATCGGCTCATAATCCACTAAAGATCGCAGGCTAGCGATGTCATCTAGAGTTGGTTAAGGTCTGGATAGGTTAATTAATGTCTAATTAATAATTTAGATAACATTTCAGGCATTAAAAAAGACCTGCAATAGACAGATTTAGCTCTTGCATAATGTATGTTTAAGTCCGGGGAACTATCTAGGCCAATGTTGGGATGTATCTAACCCGGAACCTCCAGGTGGGCTTTCGAGATTCCTGGACTGATATTGGCTAACTTAGTGTTAATAGCGGAGCGGTCCTGAATATCGAGTTGGAATCCCAGATTAGATAAGACATTGTACTCATTGTAATGTCCCGGTTTCGCAACGCATTCTCAGACTTACGTTAAGAATTTACTCAACTTTCAATCACTGTTTATGAGAAATATCTTTGATCCAGAAACATAAAACTTTGCGCATATTTTCTTATTGATGTATTTCACACATTAAAACAACAAAAGTTTAAAAAAGACTATATTTTAGTTAAAATAAGGCGAACAATTTTTAGAAATTATTAAACCTAAGCCTGAGAATGTTTGCAATAAGAAAACCAGCATGCTATATAAACATTATGCGGGACATTTTTATAAAAGTTTCCATTAAAATATTTTAATTTATTTAAAACAGTAAATTTGTTAAATCAGCAATTATTATTTTAATCGTGGTGGTAATTTATTCATCACTTTATATCAACGTTGTCTTTGCTGTCATTACCTTGAGATTATTAACTTCATAAAATGATTATCTCATTAATTAATTAATGATAGGGGATGACAGGAGATGGGCGAGCATATATTTTTAATTCGTGTATTCTATATAACATGACTTAATGATCACGATTCACGCGTGAGCAACATGAAAGGACGAAAGCTCTTCCACTCAGTCCAGAAAAAAAACATCAAAGAAATGGCTTTATGGAGATCAAAGAAAGCGACCAATTAAGGTATGGCACCAAATTAAATGGAAACGGTTACCTGAAAGAACTGACATTATTTTTCTGTGGTCTCACTGGGCCTAATGGTCTAAATAATTTGTCGAGGGCTAAATATGGACAATGTAAACCTTTGAACAATACTGACAAAAACAAGGATTAGCCTATTTTATTTAATTCATTAGAGCTTCGTGTGGTCAAAGATAAAATGTTGGTCGGTTCATCATTGTTGGATTGAATCCGTGTAAATCGGTGATGAGTTTTGTCATTGTTTCGAATTTCAGTGATCTCTAAACAGTTTCCCAAATCAAAGCTTCAATTGGCACAATACTGTAGTTTGCAAGTAATTTTAAAGAAATGGTTCCACTGCTGACGTCTTCCGTCTTGCTTCAGATAGTGGACCGCCCTAAGGCCTTCCTTTGAGCAAGTTTTGTAGTCAATTGGCTAAAAAAAAGTTACTGGCCTATAACTCCCTTAATTTCCAATAACACTGACCCAAAACTGTACTGTACATAGCTTAACATAAACCAATTCCCATTGAAATAAAGGTTGAAACCTTACCGTATAATTATATGATTTGATTAAACCCAACTGCTATGCGAAATTTCTGTTCAGTTTAAAATGGCTGCCGAACCAGAATCACGGGGTGTCATGTCACTCGGAAAACTGTTAGGTAAGATAAGATTATGATTTCAGTGTTCCACTCTTCACTATTTGCAACATAATTACTTATTCCTATGCAAACTGTGAAGATATGTGTTGAAAATTTTGCAAATGAGCCTAATTTTACTTCCTCAAAGCCTGGAATAGTGTATCAATTGCAGCCGTAGCTAGTTACGGCCCTGGTCTTTAACTAAATTCTGCACTATATTTTTACGTTAATCAAAGACAGGTGTGTCAAACTTGCGGCCCGCCAAGGGTTTAAATGTGGACCGTTGAACAAATTTCAACAATCTGAAGTGCCGATAATTTTAGAAACTGGTGGTGGAAATCCTTTATTATTGTTTTTTTCCGGTTTCAGTAAAACTCGGACTTCTGTACTGTATGTCATAGATATCTAAGTTGTATGTAATACAAGAGAACGTTGTGTATAATATGTAACGATTTTAGTCAAATAAATCCATAAATTTCTTTATCTTGATATCTTTGTATCTCTTTGGCCCACTTGATATAAAAGTTTAGTTCATATGACCCCTGAAT